GTATTAATAATTATAACAAACTAGTGGAGTAATTTCACAAAAAATAAAAGACCAAGTACAAAGACACGACGCAAGCACATAGAAAAATTCGTGAGGTCCGTTGGTTCGTTCCGTGGCTTAGTTGGTATAGCGTCTGGCACGGTATGCAAGAAGACGTCGGTTCGAATCCGACCGGATCGAAGGAATTTTTTCTGAGTGTTCGATCTTTGTATTAATAATTATAACAAACTAGTGGAGTAATTTCACAAAAAATAATTGAATATCAATTCAATAAAAATTTAATTAATACACTGAATAGCGACATCTCTCGCCAGGACCGGTAGCTGTAAAGGTACTAACTGGGTGATAAATCTGTCAAAGATTTCTCATAGATGGCGCTACGACTAAAAAGTCGTTGAAAGACCAAGTACAAAGACACGACGCAAGCACATAGAAAAATTTGTGAGGTCCGTTGGTTCGTTCCGTGGCTTAGTTGGTATAGCGTCTGGCACGGTATGCAAGAAGACGTCGGTTCGAATCCGACCGGATCGAAGGAATTTTTTCTGAGTGTTCGATCTTTGTATTAATAATTATAACAAACTAGTGGAGTAATTTCACAAAAAATAATTGAATATCAATTCAATAAAAATTTAATTAAGGGCCATATATTCCTGGTAACACATTAGCGATACAGCTCTTATAAATATCAGCTTTCGTTTGCACTGAAATATAGACAGGCCAACTACTGACCTGTGTGTTCGTCTCCGTATATTCCAAAAAATATTCTGTATTTATTATAATAAAGATAATATCTCTAACAATGCCATGCTGTTCTATTCGGTGGTATGGGAAAAACAGCAAAACATCTAATTACAAAACAAACGGAATCACATTTCATCGGTTATTAAATATGTAATTTTGCAATTTTTGTCCTATAATGGACAAAGCAAAGCTCACGTTAACTGGTCGTTTTGAAGTCAAACAGTTGACGACACCCATTGACGACACCCGTCAATTGTTTCGAACTCGGGCTAGCCAATCGGAGCGCAGTTGTCGCAGTAATGATATGGCAGAATAGTTTTCAAACAAATTAAATGACATTTCGTCTCTATTTCTGGTTATATACTCGATGTTGCCATCATAGAGTTATAATTAGTCTGCAACAGAAACACGATTTCTCGTGGCTACTAATACCGATCGCTAGATTGTGGAGTACGCACGATTTGAGATTTAAAAAAATTTGGCTTCATTGGATTCTTCTCCCATTAGCATATATTAATAATTTACAGGACGTGTTAATTTAGCCGCGTATTTATCTCTAGATGAACTGAACACTACGGCATCTTCACTATTCATAATCACAACGCGAGCTATTAATGACAATTTTTGGTGGAAATAGGCCACCGAAATTTTAATTCTCGTCGCTCCTCGTCTCGTCTCGCCTCGTCTGTGGAAAACCGGTAACCTATCACAAATTAGATTTTTTTTCCGAAATGACGTTTGTTCGAATTTTCATTACACCGAAAACCGAATTATAACGTAACCGTTGTTCTTTCAGGATATGTTGGATGTTTATAGCAAAGACACGATTAGGTTCGGTTAGGATAAGTTAAGTTATGTTTAAAAGAAAAAATATTTTCCTCTCAAAATTGCTTTCGAGGTTATAAAAATTCGAGCAAATGTTATTACTGATAGGTAACCGGAAAACCACCTTTAAGGTGCTTTTTCACCATCGACGTGAGACGAGATTTGAAATCCTATAATTTTTTTTATAATAGCAAGTGATGGGACGAACAAGGCGTGTGCCTGATGGTAAGCTCCACGCCTGTCCATAACAGTTGCAGTGCCATTCAGAGCTTTAAATTGCAAAGATCTGAGGGGCACTGTCTCAGCAGCGGTCACCTTGAGACATAAGTTAACAAGTCTCATGAGCCTGTAATTATATTATCACCATCACACATTCAAAATCGGAACGCAGTAATGCTCCGATTACTGCTTGGCCCTGGACGAACTCTTTGACAAGGAGCGCCACTGCTACAAAAAAATGGCATTAATAGCTATCGCAAGCTCGCGCTGAGTTTGTGGACAGTGAAATAAAATTAATGAAATACCAATAGAGTAAAATTACTTGGTTGATAAATTTAAAATATACGAGTGCAGGATAGTAGCTATTGTTTTTTCTCGCTTAATGTACCCAAGAACATTAAAATATGAACAACTTTAAACTTAACTATCAATTTGTCTAAGTGACATTGAAATAGACAAAGTAGTTTACGAGTTATTAAGACACGAATATTTTATGGAAACAGTAATTAGGCTGAGAACACCTAATATGATAATGGCCGCTAATCACACGCTCAGAGAGATGAAAATAACGCTGCCCGCCGTGTGCAGTCGCGCGGAACCGAATGCTCATAAATGAAAGACTTGTTTATGCGCTTGTGCCGACGTCGGTACACTCAGCGGTAGGCACTTGTCGCGTAACCTCGAGCGAGTGACGCAACCCTGACTTGAGGCCCAGTTCCTGCCTTTATAATTTAGGAAATGACATCTTCTAAATTGTGTTTAGCCCGGGTGTTCTCGGTAGTGCCACTGGAGTCGTCGGAGAAACAGAAATTATCTCACCTGTCATTACTCAGCAATTCTGTCAGAGCTATCTCTAACTTTGGGGCAAGTGTTGGTTCAAAGGGCACCACACGCGCATATCCAGCATTTTCGGCTCTAAATGCGTTGGACGGCTGATCGCCGAATACCGGCACAGCGAGGAGTGGTACTCCAAAGTGGACTGCTTCGATTGTGCTTAGGGCACCACCATGGGTTATAAACAGACGAATGTTAGGGTGCGCTGAAATAATTGAAAATTATATTATTATAATTATTAATACAAAGATGGAACATTCAGAAAAATATCGTTCGATTCGGCCGGATTCGAACTGACGTCTTCTAGCATTCCGTGCCAGACGCTATACCAACTGAACGAACCAGCGGACCTCACGAATTTTTCTATGTGCTTGCATCGTATCTTTGAATTTGATTTTTCAACGACGTTTTAGCCGTAGAGCCGTCTATGAGAAATGTATGATATTTCGTCATCCAGTTAAATACCTTATTATTTCATCATTTCACTTCAATGAAATGGTAATAGTGGTTGCGTAGGCTTAGAAGCGCGTAAGGTTGTTCACACCGCCATAAATACAGCAATACATGAGTCTACTATTTGATGTAATTTTTTAAGCACCGATTTCAATTCTATAATGAATAGCGCGTGCGACAAAAAAAAGACTGCGTTGCGCGAACTATATAGCTACCTATGTAGAACCACAAAATTAACAGGTTACACAATCAGTGTTGCCGTGGTGTTGCCAGGGCCCTCGAGTCAAAAATTACATTTCGCTATCTGAAAAGTTTCATTTTTGTGTGCAAAAGTTACATTTTACAAGTTTGTTTTGTAATTAACAATTGTAACTGTAAAATATATAAACGCCTAAAAATAAAAAAGTAAACACGTTATTAAATCAAATTAAGTTACCAGTAATTCATTGATTTTATTTTGTATGCGCCAAATCTGAGTTAGGTTTTTGTCTAATATTGGTGCTTTCGTAAACTGTTTAGGATTATAATAACAAATGCAGCTCACTTAAAAACAAAAATTACTTACATATTACGCGAGAAAATAAAATTTTTGGGAAAATTTAAGAAATGTAACCATCTGGGAATACTACACTATGTTCGTTCTACCACCGTTAGTTAAAAATGTGCACTTGACATTTTTTTTTTAAATTTTTCATAAAAAGATCGATCTTTCACCATTTTTATTGTTGCTTAAGTGGATAGTTCATGAAGTTACAGCAAGACAAAAGTAGATATTTTTTTAATTTCATTTCTCTAAACATTATTTTGTCACAATTATTCTCAAACTTGTCACAAGCGCTCTTTTAACTACCGGTGGCAGCGTTCGCTGTCATTGTTATGTTGTAAGCAATACTACAAAACAGCGGAATAACAGGTTATCTGACAACATTTTATAATAACAGTTATTGTAAAATAGCATAGCTGTATAATTTATTATTGACAAACAGCCGTTATTGCCATGTCTAGTAGTCATGCTACTTGTCTAAGATACTAACCTAAAACACTAGTTTGGGGCCACCATTTCCTAACATGAATATTCTTTGGCAATCCCGCGGGTACGTCGTCTAGTTTCCACAATACAGTCATTTTCAATGACCCAAAAATTCTTATTAATTCGCGTATCGTCTCTTTTGGGATTGTGGATGGTTTTATTACTGAACCCATGCTGAAGTATACCACTCCTTGTGGAGAGTTGTCCATTATTTCTTGAAGATCCTGAGGAAGGAAAAATTAGACTTATTAAAGACTTATTGTAAGCGACATGTTTACCTAAACAGCGCTTTTATTGCAAAATAACGGACAACGACGTGTCAACATTTCTCGCCAAAATTACATTTTTTTAAATTAAATGGACTTGCTCTTGACCACTACCCAGCTCTGGGTCAAAGTTCAGATCTACGGTTAGCTATCAATAGTCCGAAATGACATTTTCCAGAAATAATGTTTGGTCGAAATTTCATAATCTCGAAAGTAATTTTGAGAGGAAAATATTTTTTCTTTGAACTTAACTTAACCTAACCTAACCGAAACTAATCGTGTGTTTGCGATAAACATTCAACATATCCTGAAAGAACAACTGTTTCGTTATAATTCGGGTTTCGGTGTAATGAAAATTCGAACAAACGTTATTTCGGACAAAAAAATTCGGGTTTGTGATAGGTTATCCGGATCTACAATGGAACGAGCTCGCCCAGAAGTAGGAATGGGTAATATAGCTTTTTCTGAATTTTGTATCGAAACTATATATCAATATTCAAAATCGTATTTCGAAACTGTATATTTTCTGAAACAATATATTCATGAATACAGCCCGCAGCCCGCAACTACATATTATTGGATATAGTTTTACAAGAGCAATGCGGACCAATGTTAGTAGTATACAGTTTCGAAGACGCACAAAAAATGGTTTCGCGTTGATATCCACTCAGTGAATATCTGATACGAAGCAATATCGGTATATAGTTTGGAAAATATATGATTTCGTGTTGGTACCCACTTGGTAATCGCTCGACTTGATTCGGCATCTCATATATCATCAAAATATTCGATATTGCCACAATATACAGTTTCAATAACTGTATACGATTTATAACGCCCATTCCTACCCAGAAGATGGCTATTCTTTCGCATCTTAGAGTGATTAATCACGGCGACTCTTAGGGTCGTATTCTAGAACTCTACTCAATGCTCAAGTCAGGATTTGAGTATGGTTTAAAGCACTCGAAATCATACTCAAGTCCCTGCCATTAGGGTCGTATCCAGTGCTTGTGTTTCCATTGCAATCCTGACTTGAGCATTGAGTACAGTTCTAGAATACGACCCTTAAACAGCGACGCAAATGCGATACAAACGCGATTATTTGTTCGGGGCGTGGTGCGGCGTCTAAAGCTAGGAAGAGGAGGAAATTGTCTAATCTCGTTACTTTTTCTTTCTCCGACACAACTGAGATGATTTTAAAATTAGCAGAATTGGGGCCCTGCAGCTTGATTTTGATTGCCTCTACCCGTTCGGAAACTGCGTCACTTTCGAATCGAGGCGCATAATTGCGATTCAAACTTTTGACATTTGAAATCGGAAAAATAGTTGTATTAACTCACAAATTAGAAAGATATAGTAGGAATCAGGTTCATCTCGCTCAGAAACCATTTCGAGACTACACGATCGGATCGATATGAATCAAAATCAGGACGCTGGTATGTCACACTTGCAGGTTTGGATCCTGACAGATCGAAAGTATTTTTCTTTGTATTAGATCTTTAACATTGATGAATAAAAATATTCACCTTTGGTAAGGGTGTACTCTCATCTATGTGGTATCCAGCAATATAAACGACGTTCGGTGGTAGACTCAACGCTGGTGCGATGGACGGATGAGAGTTGGCCATTAATATGGATACGTTGCTAATTGCAGCTCTGTAGGGGGGTAGATCAATCCCTCTAGCTTGGGCCAGGGAGGAAAAGTATGTTTCGTAATTGGGTGCATCTGTAAATTCGTTGTACCTGCGGGATATGCAATCAGTTATTACCAGAGCAGTAAAATTATAGCAATACAATGTGCTTGAAACGTGTTTCCCACTAGGGGTCGAATGCCGTTTGATCAATTAATTGCTCGAAAACGTTTACACGAATGTCTATTCGACCTATACATCGTGAGCTCTAAGGTTTGCCACATCGACGCATAAAAATCCCTAAAGAACAGCCAAAAAAGCGATTTCTCGAAAGATCTATGAATTTAATTCGTTAGAGCACATGTTCTTTAGGGCTTTTAATGCATCGATGTGGCTAACCTTAGAGCTCACATTTTGTAGGTCGAATGGACAATCGAGTAAATGTTTTCGAGCAATTACTTTTCGATTACATAGCAAATAAATTTTTTTTTTCACTATAGTTTGAAACCTCATGCGTACGGTTACGAACAACATTGAAGATTGATTTACTGTATTGATATGTTCTAGTTCTAGTTATTTTGTTGATGTGGCAAATTATATTATGACATTTTATTGCATTTTTAAACCAATTAGTTGCCAATATCAAATCATTAAGCATTAAGAACATTATTTTTTAACATTTAACTTTGTTTTATATTTTTTATTTACTATTAACAACATCTTTCTGCACTTTTTAACATTCTTTAATTCTATTAACTGTTCCGAAAACACCCTCAAGATATCGGTTACCGCGTCGCGATCACGAAGTAACATCCTGTATGGACAGAGTCGCTATTCTGCCCTTACATCGTGAATGCCATGAATATTAACCGGAATTTTACTATAGAAGCGTATATATTGTCCCTGAAATAAACTTTTCACCTCACTAGCTCGGAAAGGCTTCCTTTTTCGTTAGAATCTGCGTGCAAAAACTTTTTGAAATTCGTACTTGACAATGGACTGTGAACCTAACTTTTTCTTTCAATGAAAAAGAAAATTATACGTTCAACTACGCGATTTGCCATACATTATTTATGTAACATAAATCCGTTGGTATATTTTATTCTTATTATTGTTGACATTAAATTGACAATGATAACTAATTGTGTTTATTAAATTACTTTAAATTGTCGAATAACTAAAATAATTTCAATAATCACTAAATCACACAAAATAGAAGTGCTAGCAAGAATAAAAATTTATGAGGTAAATTCAGAAAGCGTCCGAAGATAAACTTTTTCTTATAGATTAAAAAAACTGATGTTTTATAGTTAAACTGTTTTTCTTTCATCTACCATTTTCCTCGCTATAGTGAGGTGAAAAGTTGTGTGGTTCGCTCGGCAGCACAGTTGTTATGCGTCTCGTGCCTTGAAACTCACGCTTACCACATCAATCCAGTGAACATCATAAACGCGGCAGTATTGGCTAGACGTTGCCAGAAATTCATAGGCATAGGGAGTCTCGTCATTACTGATGGCACAGTTGAAACTGAGCGAACCTCGTCAAGGAGATTTTCAACGTGTGTATGCACGTGGGTGCTGTATAAAATTATCCAGGGTACTTGTAGAATGGCAGCGTAGCTGAAATTCAAATATAGTTATCATTTATTAGAATAGAATAGAATAGAATAGAAACCACTTATTACATAACGCCACAACATAAAAATTAATTAAAAAACACAGTTAGATTTTTTTCAAAAAGATAAAACTAATTGGAAATTAGATTATTTTTCCGGATTTAAAACGCGCATATTTGTTTTTTCAAACAAACCAACGTTACGGGCCCTTTGCAGGTGCCATGGTCACGGTTGACTGACATCCAATAGTTTCATTCCCTATGTGTAACAATTGCAAAAACCTAAGAACTCGAAAAGATAAAACAATCTTAAAACAAAAATAAAATAAAATAACAAAAAAAAATTATAAAACTAATTAAAAATAAAATCTTAGCAATAGGTAATGAAATGACCTCAAAGATAGTCAACACTATTGTATACTAAATAGGTGTCATGCGTGTGCAAAAGAATCCACTCAGCTAATGTCACCGCCGGGAAAAGGCTGATTTTCAATGGACCCTAAAACCGAGTGAGTACCGGACGTGTATGTCGCGTATAAACTAACATATATGTATATATTTTTTTTTAATAACGCACACACTCAATATAGCCCCGCACTAGGGAAACTCTGGTGTCGCGGGTGCCATGGACACACACATAGACAACCCCAAATTACACCCAAACCCACGAGAGAAATAAATGTAGGCCATATAAATATTTCTCCCGGCGCGGGAATCGAACCTGAGTGTAACCGTTCGTCTACGGAGACAGTAAAACAGATGGAATAAGAACACGAAAATCGTGATAGCTGTTCTCGTTTACCAGGATAGCATAAGTTCAAACTGATTGTGACTCACCCAGCGTCTGTATCCGACATGAACCACTCAGTAACGACAGCATCAAATTGCTGTGTCACCAATATTTCTCTGACCTGCTTATTTTGCACCGTAGCCGAACTCACATTTCTCGCAAAGCCCAGAATGAATGACAAAGATTGGCTTTTGCTGCTGTCCATCATGTCTATATCTGAAGAATAAAAAAATATTTTTTTCAAATTACTAAGTACATAGAATTAAATTAACTAGATAGAAATTTTAGTAGCAGCGTGAAAGAGTTCGGCCAGAGAAGTACTATCACCTTATCTATTTCTACCGCCAAGCAGTAATGTGAGCATTACTGCGTTCCGGTTTTAAAGGAAAAGGGTGCTGGTCAAATTACAGGCACATGGGACTTGTCAACTCTTGTCTCAGGGTGAGGGGCGCAGCGGGAGTGTCAGTAAAGCTCTGAGTGGCTCTGAAATTGTTAAGGACTGGCGCGTCGCGTGACTTGTTCGTCCCGTCATCTTGGTATCATAAAATAGTTATTTGTTATGCAAGGCTGCAAAGGTGTTGTTTGACGCGAGTGCTTGTATTGAACCACGAGCGAAGCGAGCGATTCAAAAATAGATTCCTGAGCGTAGCGAGGGTTTCAAGTCACGAGACGCAGACGTTGCTACCGAGCGAGCTACACAACTTTTCACCTCACTATAGCGAGGAAAATGGTAGATGAAAGAAAAAACAGTTGAACATAATTTATTTTAATTAGAAGAGAAAGTTTATCTTCGGATGCGTTCTAAATTTACACCTCATTAATTTTTATTTTTGCTTGTACTTTTATTTTGTATGATTAAGTGATTATTGAAATTATTTTAGTTCTTCGACGAATTAAAATAATTTAATAAACCAATTAGTTATCGTTGTCAATTTAATGTCAACAATAATAAGAATAAAATATGCCAATGGATTTATATTACATAAATAGGTAATGGACGACAAATCGCGTAGTCGAACGTGTCATTATCTTTTTTTTCATTGAAAGAAAAAGTTAGGTGCACCACAGTCCATCGTCAAGTTTGAATTTCAAAAACCTGTTCCAGCGTGCAAAAAACGCTTTTGCGTGCAGGTTTCTAATGAGAAAGAAAGCCTTGCCGAGCTAGTGAGGTGAAAAAAAACTTCTGACTTCTCATGTTTTCCGTGCCTTGTTAACTTTTATCGACGCGCAGGTTTCATCACCGAAAAGCTCACGGTAAAAAAGGATGGCGAAAGCTGCCCCAATAATTATAAAATCAACAAAGAGCCGTTTATGCACTTTGCTAATATAATTTTACATTTCAGTTTATGCCGAGATATCAATATATCTTTGTATATTTTTAGAAGTGGGGAATAAAGAACTTGTAAAACAATATATTTTTAGCATATATGCAAGAACACGATGCAATTGACTAAGTTCGACCATAGATTATGTAACGTTCTTGTACGCACGTCGCATTTTAAGCATGATTGAATGTTTACCTACTTAAAGTATTGGTTATTTTATAGTACACACTTCAAACATTAAAGCTATAAAATACAGAATCAAACAATTAGTTAAACAGTAATGACATAAAGTAAAAAATAAAACACAATGTGACAAAAATGTTTAGGTAATATTTAAATGAGAGATGAGAAATTTAGCAATGGAACCTCTTGCCAATGTCAATGTCACATTGAGATTGAGAACAGTGTGACCATTTGTGGCAGATTTCTGCCATTTGGGCAGAATTAATTTTTATTAATTTTCATTGTGGCAGAACATGTTAACGTTGTATTTGACGACGACGTTGTTGTTGATTGCTTCGGCAGCCTTCGGGATGCTTCGGAAGGCCGAGTGCGACTATGGGGGTATATGAGATGCGGGGAGGCATGCACGGCAAGACTGATCTGCAGAGAGACCAGGCGCGAGCACAAAGTCACGACGGAATGCTTCGGCATGCCTAAGGTCGCCTAGGTATGCTTAAACATGCCGCGTCGTACCTAGGAATACATGTACGGATGCCGAGCTATCCCGTCAGTGGACACCGGGCCTTCCACAATTTTCAAGGTTTTGCGTGAGATAGAATAGAATAGAATACGTTTGTTTGCCAGAATACAGTAAATATACAGATCTTAAATTAATTTAGGTATAAAGTATTCAACCTGCAAGCAGGTGTGCACATGTAATGGAATTTATTGTGTCTTGTTTACAGTTAAATGCATTTTAATATAAAGTTAATTAGTATATGTGTCAAAAGCCATCTTGACAATTGTAGTTTAAAAGTACGTCCTTGTAGTAATTTAATGTTATTTGGTAAATTATTAAAAATCTTGATGCACAAGGTGAAGCAGTTATTCGTATAAATTGTTTTAAGGCAGCGAGGTTGGTATAACTGGTTCATAATTTATTTCGCCACGTATTCTGAAATGTTGAGAGTGAACCTTGACAAACACACAGATGTCTCTAACATACTTGCTGGCGAGAGGAAGTATGTTGAATTTTTTGGACAAGGGTTTGCATTTAGGTTTGGTTTAGCTGTTGTTAAGTTGACACGACCATGGCGTACAAACATAAATGGTAGACTGAGCTGAAGTACACTGAACTCCGCGTACTGTTGGCGCACGTGCCACACCCACTAAACACTTCTACTATATTTATTGTTCTGTGTTTATGTATATTTTAATTGATTGTCTGGCATATAAACAAAAATTACTTACTCTCCATGATTTTCAACATGTCACTAACATAGACCATCGTTAAGCCTTTTTGAGGCTTGTTGTCTTCGAACGGAGTCACCCATGTTACCTGAAAAACCATTCATAATGTTATTGTAGCAGTAAAGCTCCTTGTGAAAGAGTTCGTCCCGGGAAATACTGTCACCAAATGGCCACCTTACTCCATACAAGGATCGTAACGGTAGTACGCAGAGGAAGACTTACAAAGACAATGCTAAATGTATATTGTACGTAAAAATACAGATACCATGGTGGCAAACCTTTCCTTGATGTCGTGTGTGCATGTTTAAACAAAAGTGCGGCACGTGGCTAAAGTAGATAGCCGCGTGCGCAGAGTTATGCCGAAGAATGTATGAAACCATATAGTACCTATTTCTCCTTAACTTAACTGCCTCCGTGGCCGAACGGTTACCATGCCGGACTGCCACACAGAGGTCCCAGGTTTGATTCCCGGGCCGGGAGAAATGTTTGTATGGCCTACATTTATTTCTGTCGTGAGTTTAGGTGTAATTTGTGGTTGTCTATGTGTGTGTCCATGGCACCCGCGACACAGGGTTTCCCTAGTGCGGGGCTATGTTGAGTGTGAGCGTTATTATTATTATTATTATATTTCTGGTAAAGGTACTGGTGAAATTACAAGCACATAGGACTTGTCAACTTATGTCGCAGGGCGAAGGACGCAGTGGCAGTGCCCCTAAGATCCTTGCGATTTAAAGCTCTGAGTGGCACTGCAACTGTTATGGATGGCCGTGTCGCTTACAACCAGGCGCACGACTTGTTAATTCCGTCACTGGGTATTATAAAAAAATACATTGAAACAAATTAACTTTTGTTCTATTATAGATACCAGGGTTGTTGCGTATATCAGCATCCGCGTCCGCTTCCGGGGATAATCTGCACAAATTAAAATATTCGCATCCGCATTAGCATCCGCATTTATCGATGCTGATATTTTAATTTATTATTAATTTATTTTGATATTTTAATAAATTCAGCTGTTGTTTCTAAAATATAACTTTGATGATATTCCACGACGATTAAGCTACGCAGATTTATTGTTTTCATGAAGATTTTTTTTTATTTAAAATATTGCATCTTAATTTTAAGATCGTGTGTGTCTCGGCACTTACGCAATAAACTGTTCTTATTATTATTCTTATTCAATACCATAGAAAATCACATTGTGTCGTATATGCTCACAATATCCACAGTCTTTGTGGAATAATGAAGTCGTGACACGTATAGCAACGTCGTCGGAACCGCTGGTACTAGTTACTACGTAACAGACACGTCAATCTCATACAAAATCGAAAATACATACGCTATAATGGCCTAAATCTGACTAATGACACTAGGCGCTCATTACGATTAAAAAGAAACCTAAGCACGCGCTCAGATAGGTGAAAATAACGTTACCCGCCGCGTCAAGTCGTGCGGAGCCGAATGCTCATAAATAACAGACTTGTAGGAGCGCTTGTGCCGACGTCGGTACACTCAGCGGTAGGCACTCATCGCGTGACCTTGAGCGAGTGACGGAGCCCTGCCTCTGAACGTAATAGTTGATTAAAGTTGAGATTAAAGAAATTATCTTTACCTACCTACTTAGATTTAAAAATAAATGTTGTTGTAGATAAATTTTATCACATTATGATATAAAACGATGTCAAATTGCCTACAAATTCTATTTTAAAAACGCAGTGTAATCATGTTTTGACAAAAACTGAATTACAAATTGAATTGTCATGATACGCATACTATTTGTTGTAATCTATATAATCCACTTGTTTGTAGTAATAAACGCCTTCTGCTTTGAGACGGGTCCCCTTACGTAGCTTTACGCTTTTTTTGTAGCAGTAAAGCTCTTTCTGAAAGTGTTTGTCCAGGGAAGTACTGCCACTTTACCTCTCCGTTCAGGTTTAGGTTTTAAAATAGTAATAAGACAGGCATGTTAATTGTCATTGCCTATGATTAAAATTCGTTTCAGAATAAATACCCGCACTACATTTTTATTTATTAAATTATCGAAAACTTTTTATCGACATATCACAACTCTAGCAAATGCAGTGTAATGAAATAACCTTTGCACATTGTCGTAAAAAATTAATAAATAAAAAATATATACATTTTTCCGCTCATTTCTCACAAATAAACATTAATTTGGTATTATTTTTACTTTATTTTAACGTGTTTACTTAAACAAACTAGATAAAATTGTTTATGAAATACGTAAATTAGTGCACGTCGTTACAAGGTTTTATTGTGTAGATTTTTATGACAGTTCATACAAGGACATCCTATAATATTTTTAGTGTAAGCCCTTATTTAGTTATAAAATAAAGGTATAATCACAGATAGTCATATAAGTAGTTCCGTTTTTTTGTGCCTACTGAATAGTTAACATTAATGGAGGTTACGAGGAGTACTAATTTAGCCAATGAATACGGATCTTGATCTTGGGTAGGTGATTGATTCAACGTTAAGTATTTATTTTTATTTAAGTATTATATTTATTGATTCATCTCAGTCCGTTAAGTCCCACTGCTGGGTATGGGCCTCCTCTTTTGCATGCCAGCCCAATCGGTCCTGTGCGAATCTCATGCACAATCTTCCAGCCACGCCGACGACATCGTCAGACCATCTAGCAGGTGGTCTGCCTGGAGGACGTCTCGCTCCCACCGGGTACCACTCAGCAACCGTAAGTATTATATAATGTAACACTAATTAGATATTAGTATTTATTGCACTCAGCGATTAAGAGGGAGCAGAGGAAAAATTCCTAATCTTCGATTTGATTTTAGAGGGGTATATCCACTTTAAAGTTAAAAACAAAATATTGTATGAGTAACTACACGATATATTCAAGCATAGACACTAATCAGAAACATAAAACAATGAAGTTTCCTCGATAGATAAAAATCACGAAATTACCTCTAATTTTCACATTTTTTCGATTCATCCTCGAAATGCTACAGGTTATTAGGACAAAAATTAGATAATTAATATAAATATTTATGCATGATCGATAACTGTCACTACGGATTTTTTTTGAATCCCTTTAGTTTTAGAGTTATTCCGCTAAAATGAATTTGGTACTTTTAATGCGCAAAATTCAACATCTCCTGTCGCATGTCACGCGAACTTCAGGCATATATTTGTTTCACAAATTTGGGCGGAGCCAACGTCAAAACTTTTTTGGCATGCTCCTCTTAATTATACTTTCAAGTTTATCCGGTCGCTTGCAAGAACGGGTTGCACACAAAAAAATATACAGTCGAATTACGAACCTCCTCGTTTTTTATGAAGTCTGTTAAAAAGAGTATAGAACATTTTATATTGTACCGTATCGTGTTGTAATAAAGACAATGATTTCTTACCTCATGTCCAGCTTTCAAGAGAGTTCGGACAAATCCTTTAGCTAGCATATTATGACTTCTGCTAGGGACAGTAAGCACACACAGTATCTTGTACGTGTGGGCTATTGTGAAGCAACTTAGCAAAAGAAGGACGACCCTCATGGTTGCTGAAAAAGATAATAATAACATAGTATATAGTACGGCAGACATTCAAACAATATTTTTTGTGCAACAAAAACGAGCTGTACGTGCAATTTATAAGTTAGGTTGCCATCGGTTTAAAGAAACAAATATTTTAACTCTGCGAAGTGAACTTATATTTGGAAATGTAACAATAATAATCATTGACTTACAAATAAATGGACGACGGGTCTAATACAAAAACCACGAAAAAAATGTCCCAAGTCAACCTATTCGAAATTTAAATTGTAATGTCATCGCAGTATCGCGCTGTGTCAGTAGAACAAATGAAGACTAAAGCGGAGTGTCGCGCTCTGTATACGATTTTAGCGCCTTACAAGTGCGGACACTTTTTAGCGTGGACCCGACGTCCATATAATTGTAAGTCAATGACAATAATAGTTTTTTTACTTAAGACAACAACAAGGTCCACTTGTTAGTTTTACAGAAACCTTAGGTAAATCTGTAAAATACTATGTTAGTTTACAGTTTAATATTTATTTATAAATGTAATAAAATAAAATACAATAAAAAATAAAATTAAAATTTTAAATTGAAATAATACACTCCCGGACACTTAACTCGAGCCACCTCGCATTGGAGGCTAGAATATAAAAATATAGTTATCATCGAAGAAAAAGTTTTCTACGGTTTTTTAAATTCAAATTTTCAATAAGGACTTTCAGAAATGACGTTTAGTTCAAAGTTGCATGATAGCATTTTTGAGCAATCAAGCATTGTTTAAACTAAGCATTTAATATTTAAAACGCAAGGTGGCGCAAATTAAAAAAAATCACATTAAAAACTAAAAATTTAAATATTATAACAGGATCTCATAAAAATTTTTAAATTGATATAAAATAAACATTAAAATTTTATTTTAAAAAAGTAAAATAAAAATTGCACCCTCAGCTTGGTCTACATTTTATTTTATTTAAAATTTTGGGTGGGTTGTCGTACCAACATGCCAACAAAAGCTCAAGCATAATGTATTTTTGCAGAAATGTAGCATTATTTCGGAAAATCAGTGGCATAACCTTATTCTTAGAAACAAAAATAAACTTGCCACCCCTATGCTCAGACTTAACAAAATTAGCTCGTCATTTAAACGGCACTGCATATGTTTCATAATTAAATTCCTAAAAATCGTACAAAATTTATATTTAAAGCTCATGTTAAAAATGTACTAATTGGAAAAGCTTATTACAAAATCAATTATTACACAGATGATACGAACGCATGGTGTACTTCCAACTATTGAATGTTTCAGTTCACCAATGGTCGGAAAAAGGTGTTTCACATATATGTGAAAGGTGTTTCAGATACAAGTATATATCGCTACAAGGAGCAAGCGAGCGATAGAATTGTTAAAACCACTAAATATTAATTAATTACTTTTTCCAATTGCGGATTTTTGGAAATGGTTTTACTGCATCGTAAGACAAAACTACTGACACAGGAAGTCGACGTTGGATTCTGAACTGACCTTTTGCCAAAGCAGAGAACAAAAAAGTTACGAGAATGGTCACTCTCGGCCCATCCATAGCTTTAGATACCGCACTGCGCCCCGCATATTGACGGTCACAATGACGGAACGGCAACAAAGCTGTCAGTTATCTACAAGGTCAGTAGTTTATCTCTGTTGAACAGAATACGTGGCAGCGGTAACAGCCTCCTGAAGACAATTGCAGTTAGGTGTGAGTGTCCCACAATGCGGCATCTCATTAATAATACAAAATCTGTTCTAGAATTTAAGTACTAACCTAATTATAAGTTTCATTGTTGCTAACACTTATGGATCCTAGTTATCTGAATAAATGAATTTGAATTTGAATTTATCTTACGATGCAATAATACCATTTCCGGAAATCCGGTATCCGAAAAAATAATGAAGTAATATTTGGTAGTTTTAACAACTATATGTTGCTCCTTGTACTTATGTCTGTACATGTATCTAAATATGTGGCACACCTTTTTCCAACCTATGGTGATGATTGAAATAAAATATTATTCTCTGGTGAAATTGATCTGGTAAGGATTAGTGATTTTTTGTTTAATGTGACGATATCAAGTGTAATTTGATCACCTACGAAATAAAGATACTTGATTTGATTTGGGTATAATTAATTAATTTTCCATCACGAAATATTCCAATACCCACACTAACACAGACAAACACATACACCCACCCACACACACACACACACACTCACACACACTCGTACACAAAATTACAGATATATTTATCACAATTTGCATATTACAATGTATCCAACTTGTTATATAATTATTACTTAGAGTACTTTTTACCGAGACTTTTAATTAGATTCTTTCACTTTATTTTTTTGTATTAAATTTTTAATTTATATTTTTCTCATGAAATAGACTTAAGCCTTGTCAAAATTTGGGAGAGGGCACTGACTCCTGTCACACAGGTTATACCTAGCTCAGGAGTCAGGGACTTCATCAATATGTTGTAATCTATTTTGTGACAATAAATATTATTATTATATTATTATTAATAAAATAAGTAACGCGCGCACACACGCGTAGCACCGCCCTAGGGAACCCTGTGTTGCGGGGCCATGGACACACACGTAGACTACCACAAATTACACCCAAACTCACGAGAGAAATAAATGTATACATTATATAATAATGTATACAAATAAATGAGACAACACACCCTTACACCTTATGACAGTGGCTCTGATAGGCGAAATTGCATAGTGGCCTCTTGTGACCGACTGAGGACTGCTTTAAGCCACAGATTTTTCTGCTTCCTTGGATATTTTCTTTACAATAAACTCCATCGAGAGCTTCATATTTTTGGGTTGAATAATTTCGAATGTAAGAGGAGGTTGGCAAACTGGTTGCAAAAATTAAATTATGATGATACGGAAAAGTTGCTTCATCCAATAGTCTGAATCGAACTTAATGTTCCGTTACTGGTACACACACTTACATGCACACACACACTGTGAAATGTGAATTTCATCTTCCTCTGATCACTAGGGAAACCCTGTGTCGCGGGTGCCATGGACAACCACAAATCACACCCAAATTTACGAGAGAAATAAATGTAGGCCATACAAATATTTCTCCCAACCCGAGAATCGAACCCGCGACCTCTGCATGGTAGACCAGCGTGGCAACTGTGGCTACGGATGTTGTTAATCTGCGATATAATCTTTGCGATTTAAGGGCTCTGAGTGGCACTGCAACTGTATGGACAGGCGTGTAGCTTGCCATCGGGTGCACGACTTGTTCTTCCCGTCGCTTTAATTTTTTTTTAATTTGTTTCTTTGAAAAATTGTCAAGTACGCAGACTTTATTTAAGATCTATACAACAAGTATAATATCATTGCTATTCAATCTCAAATGGCTTTGGTTGATTCATTATAACAGTGAAAGTGTTGAAATCACTTTGGAAAATATATAATATAGTAAAATTGAGGATAAACGCTGACTACTATATAGTGTGAAAATACAATTCCTAAAAATTTCAACGATAGAAAAAAAATATAAACTTACCTCGAAATTTTACAAGAAAACCGCTGTATTAAATATGTACTTTATACGTATATCAATGATTTTTTTTTTATATCAACTAAACTAAATAGAACACGCAACTATAAAATAACATACATTTTTCAAATAGATTTAATTCCGTTTGAAAAAAAAAAAATCTGAAATAAACCCCATGTCCTGCCGTTCGACCCAAGCAAAATGAACCGTATTAGAACGGGAAAAATTGGAATTCGAGTTGAGGTACCTAGTGTAAGGGCGGCTTCCCTTACTCTAAGTAGTAGTTTGCTGGAGAGTGAATCAGTTTATCACTGGAACGGGATGTTAGTAATGAAAACGTGTCCGCACTCAATGATTCCGTTTATTGAACTCTAATAATGTAAACACGTAATAGCTTTTTATGTTAGAATCTACGTCAGCGTATATAGTTTTGCAATTATTATAGTATTTTCCTAAGTATGTCGAGGTAGCTCGTACACCTAGTATAGACTCTTAACAAATAAATTTCGCTAAAAATGTCGATTACGTTAGTTATTACGTTAGTAAAAATATGTTCGATTATATTATGGAGACAGTACTTACCTGTAAAATAACTATTACATAAGAACGAATAGTTAAAACCGCAACTATATGGGTACTAAATTCTACTTACTAACTTGATACGATTTGTCGCCATAATCTCTCGGCAGATAAGACAATCAAAAATATTCAAATATAAAAAAGGTGCCAAGTTCTCCTTGAGTATTGATTGATAATTGGGATAATATTGTAATTAAATATTTATTGAATTGATATTGAATTATTTTTGTGAAGTTATTCCACTAGTTTGTTATAATTATTAATAGAAAGATCGAAAATTTTGAAAAAATTCCTTCAATCTGAACCGACGACGTCATTCACACGTAATTAATTTATTTCATTATTGTACAAACATATTGCTAACAGAATATATCTAGACGCAATAGTTGCTGAAGTCGGAATACGTTTAAATTAAAATACAGTAAATTAATGGTACAAGCAATAATACATAATTCGCAAATAGTAAAAAAAATCATGTGAAGGTAATAAAGAGATTAAGGAATAAAATAAATGTCATGAAGTAAAATTAATAAAATGTCAGATTAAAAATTAAAATTATAGTAAAGCTAATTTAAATAGGTACTGCTGGGTCTTGTCAATCTGAGTCAGAGATAAGTAGCTGATTAATTAGTTTAAGCGCCCGAGGCAAAGAATTTACACCGAGTAATAGTCGCTAACAACCGTTGTCCAAACCGTGCTTGTTGTTGGATCTTTGTATTTGGTTGTCGACGACTTTTTACACGTAGCGCCATCTATGAGGAATAATATTGATCCTCAAAGATACTCGTATAATTGATCTATTGTAAATGTGCACTTTCTTTAATAAACGATTTTATATATACACTCCCGGACACATATTTCCCATTTTTAGTATTAAATGCCCTAAGCTTAAAAAATATGTTTCATTGATCAAAAACTATTAATGCAATTTTGAAGCTGGTTTACTAAACGTCATTTTCGTATGTCCTTGCTGAAAATTTGATTTTGTGAATCCAGGGAAAAACGAGTTTAAGTGTCACAAGTCTTGAATTCACCTTTGTCAAATGAAACTCTAGTAAAGAAATTTTAAAGAAAACAGTGGCTTATCGGAAAACATTGTCTATTCAGTAACTTGTATTGCCTCCAAGAGCGTTGACAACGGCCGCCATGCGATTTGGCATATAATTAATTAACGTCAATATGAGTGCTGTGGAATGTTCTCCCATTCTTCCTCAATGGCAACTTTCAACTCCGGTAAGGGTTGCGGGGCTGGGTGGTGAACTCAAACACGCCTCTTCAGCTTGTCCCATAAATGTTCTATTGGGTTCATATCCGGGCTTCGTGCTGGCCATTGCATGGTAGTAATACCGAGCGACGTCATGAAGGTATTCCGTGACGACTCTTGCAGTATGCGCTCTTGCGTTGTCATGCATGAGAATAAAATCTCGGCCTACAAAAACAGCATATGGCACTACATGAATTTCGGCGCACTGGCGAATGTATCTGTCGGCATTTAATGGTGGCAGCTATACATTGCTCGGAATACGTTCGAAAAATAAAATTATAAGAGAGAACCTTTGCTTCAAAAATCATATACTAAAAATCTATCGACTTTACCTCATCCCTATGACAAACGTCAATTGAAGTGTCAAAAGGGATTAAGAAAGAAATGGCGGGCTTTTGAAGTTACAAGTACCTACAGCGTTTGCAAAGATTATTTTTATTTTAAGTATAATATTATGAAGAAAAAACGAAGAAAGAAATAGTGATGAAGAAAGTTAAAACTTATTTTAAACCAAATCACAAAAGACTTTATCCTAAAAATTCCAATCATTACGAATTCAAAGCTTTTGTTCAAAGTGATAGAAGATAGTGTGATTTAAGTGAAAGTGAACACATAAATATTGACTCCCGCCGCTTAGGCTCAACTCACACTGGCGCAGAGTCGAAGCGTCGCGACGCGTCATGTTTTTCGCCTATAGCATATTCATCTCTAGTTTGCTATTAAGGTACAAATGTGTGTTTTGCAAATATGGAATCAAGCGTCGACGCCTGCCAGGACTTGAGCGGCTTCTTCTCTTCCGCGCGTCTTTTGGGCGCCGGGAGGCGTCAGACACCGACACACTTAGGGTCGCATTCCAGAACTCTACTCAATGCTCAAGTCAGGACTTGAGCAGACTTGAGTATGATTTCAAGCACTGGAAATACGACTCTAATGGCAAGACTTGAGTATGATTTTCAGTGCTTTAAATCTTACCCAAGTCCTGACTTGAGCATTGAGTAGAGTTCTGGAATACGACCCTGTTATCCCGGCGCAGTAATGCGAGTGTCGTCGCGCGGCGCTAGTCGGTGTAGTTAAAAACAGGACGCGACGCTTCGATTCTGCACCAGTGTGAGTTGAGGCTTAAGACTATTTAAAAAACACAAACATGTGAGACGAGTTATTTAAGAGAAAGTGAAAACATAATGTATTAGAACCACAATGGAAAATCTTTATTGAGGATCCCGATAATTACGAAGACATGGCTCAAAGGACTTGTATCCAAGCTAAAAATCTTAACGAAAAAAAAGTGTCGAAGGGATTTGTTTAGTTTATTGAAGTATTATCACAAAAAGTACATTGAAATGTAAATAAGAAATTATTGACGAGGGTCTATTAGAAGGCCGAAGCCGAAAGCTGAGGGCTAATTAATATCTCGAGATTCGTATTTTTTTACCGTCCATGATACATACAATGTTTTTCGTCACATGTACGAGGAAATAAATACAATGTTTATTTTTTTATGGATAAATGTGGTAAACAACACAACAATTATCGATTTTGCGATTGCGATATTGCGATATCGGTTTTTTTGTTTTATTTTTTATTAAAAATTGATGGCCTGCTAGCTACTCTTCCATAGATATTAAAATAAGATGATGTAAAAAAAAAATAAAAAAGATGCATACCGACATGATGGACTACAAAAAAGTATTGCTAAATTTTTATACAGAAACTAATTAAAATCAATTATAAGAAATTCTTTATAATAAGTTTTCAAGTAGTATGAGGCTGAATTGAGATTAAATTTATGTTTAGATAACATTTGAAGATAATGTTTTAATTTTGAACCTCCTTGCTTAAACTACAACCTGACCTATGTAAGGAAGTATGTCGTGCTACAAATTAAAAAAGTACTGCTTACCGACCATGGCTGTAATGTTAAGAAAAATGGTTCGAGGGTTTTACTTGGGGCATTCAAGTCAAGTTAGCCACCTTGAAATTACGCTATTTACGAGCAAGTGTGATGAAAAAAATATAATAATGAATTGGTAGAAAAGAAGTATCATAATTTTCAATAAAATAAATAGGTATGGTAATACTTACAAATTTTTAAATAACAAAGAACTTCGCAAACTGACTTTTAGTCACTTCACGTAAAACCGCTTTTTGCGGTGCAACTTGTAGTACACACTGTCACTTATAAATCACAACGCTTTAAAATATTCATTACAAAATACGATAAACCACCAACATCTCGATGTAATATCACAACAAATATAGTGTGAACAGATCACTTTGTTTACTGCCGAGAGACTGATAAATTTTTTGTCATTGCTCTCCAAGGCTAGACGTATTACGTAACTAACCGTACGTACATTGTGTGTTTGAGCCGGAAGCGTATACGTTACATCTTTGTTGTTTTTATTGACTTTAAACTAGTGTTCCAATGAACATTATTTTCGACAAAGACCGTAGCCGAATAGGCCAAACTATTCGGCCTCATTAACGCTAAAATGAAGTAATTTATCTCAAAAAGGAACCGACTACGAACTTTGCTTATAGGTTACCGGAAAGTGCGCCTAACCGAATTCATCCCTTAGTTTGCCACCCTTAGAGGTGGAATATTTTTTTCAAATTTAAATGGCATCACAGATGGGCAGATGCCCGGGGTTTCCTGACACTTTGTTAATGGTTAAAATCGGGCTAAAACCCATTAATGCCCAAAATCGAGGATAAAAAGTATTTAAACTAAATAGAGTTTTTGAAACTAAACAGTTTTTTGTAAAGTCGTTAAAAACCAGATACAAAGATCCGAGAACATGCACATAGAAAAATTCGTGAGGTTCTCTGGTTCGTTCTGTGGCTTAGTTGGTGTAGCGTCCAATCCGGCCGGATCGAACGAACTTTTTCTAAGTGTGATCTTTGTATTAATGATTATAACAAACTACAGCCCCCGTAACGTGGCTATGCATGATAGTCGCAACGAAGCGCTATTGGCTATCTAAATTAGATCTAATTGAGACAGCCAATGGCGCGCGCTTATCCCAATTTTATCGCACGCGTCGCAACTATCATACGTAGCCTTGCTACGGGAGCTGGAGTAATTTCACAAAAAAGTAATTGTGCGAAACTACATTTGACGTGCAGTTTTTTGTGCCAAGTTCGGCGACATCTATATTGCAATAGCAAAACTAATGAACTATTTTTATTTTGATCATATGCGGGTAAAAGTAAAACTAGGATTTTTTATTATATGAATAAAATTGGATCCCAATCGGGTCGGCAAAGTGGCCAAGATGCTGGCAGCGTTTCTCCTTTGTATTGCTTCGCCTTTGGAGTCGATACCCTTAGCCTTCGGGTCCCAGTTCCCTTCATCTGTACAAAATTAGAAAAATAAATTAATAGACTGTCTGGGAAATTAAAAGACCACCTTGCCCAACGCATTAGCATAGAAAATAATTGAATATCTATTAGGGTGGTGAGAAATCCTGAATAAAACACTTAAATAGAGTTTTGTTTAAATTTAATAATATTATTACAAAATGTTTATTTAATTACTTTTGACAAGTACCAAGTCCCGAGGTCACACGATACTCGCATTTGGGCTCATTCGGGTTAAGAGGGAGCATGCCAAAAAAGTTTTGACGTTGGCTCCGCCCAAATTTGTGAAACAAATATATACCTGAAGTTCGCGTGACATGCGACAGGAGATGTTGAATTTTGCGCATTAAAAGTACCAAATTCGTTTTAGCGGAATAACTCTAAAACTAAAGGGATTAAAAAAAAATCCGTAGTGACAGTTCTCGATCATGCATAAATATAATTAATTATCTAATTTTTTTCGTAATAACCTGTAGCATTTCGAGGATGAATCGAAAAAATGTGAAAATTAGAGGTCATTTCGTGATTTTTATCTATCGATGATATTTTACTGTTTTATGTTTCTGATTAGTGTCTATGCTTGAATATATCGTGTAGTTACTCATACAATATTTTATTTTTAACTTTAAAGTGGATATACCCCTCTGAAATCAAATCGAAGATTAGGAATTTTTCCTCTGCTCCCTCTTAATACAACATAAACCAACTCCGGGTTCATATGCTACAAACCCCATAGCCTAATAAATCTGACTAACGATAATCAGGCGCTCTGAGCGAGTGACGTAGCCCTGCCCCAGTTTATAATTAAAATTTTCATCACACTTGCACGTAAATAGTATAATCATGCAGGCTAACTTGACTATAATGCCTCAAATAAACCATTTGGTCTTTTTTCTTCTCATTACACGACCATGGCTATAACGATTTAGTACGATTAGAGTTCCTTGTGATCTTTCACAAGATGAACTCGTGTTCGTCAAGGGAAGTACCTACTGCCATATTACCTATTTCTGCTGTTAAGCAGTACTTACAGTGGGACTTGTCAACGTATGTCTCAGGGTGACGAGCGCAGTGGTAGTGCCCCTCAGATCTTTGCGATTTAAAGTTGCAGTCAACTGTTATGGACAGGCGTGTAGCTTACCAACAGGCGCATAACTTGTTCGTCCCGTCACTAGATATTAAAAAAAAAGAGAAGAAAAAAGCAGTGCTTCAGCTACTGAATAAATAGGGTTATTTATAGAACACTAACAACCTCCCAGGACAATATAACTAAAATCTTAAACAACAACTTTTGTCCCACGACTATTCACAGAACAAAAACCTTTAAGTTTTTAATTAAATTTTTATTGAATTGATATTCAATTATTTTTTGTGAAATTACTCCACTAGTTTGTTATAATTATTAATACAAAGATCGAACACTCAGAAAAACACTCAGAAAAAATTCCTTCGATCCGGTCGGATTCGAACCGACGTCTTCTTGCATACCGTGCCAGACGCTATACCAACTAAGCCACGGAACGAACCAACGGACCTCACGAATTTTTCTATGTGCTTGCGTCGTGTCTTTCCATTATTCTCATAAGGACAGATTCTCAATAGGACGGATTCTCAAGAAGACGGATTCTCATGAAGACAGATTCTCAAAAGAACAGCAGTACACGTAAGGAGAAAAAGAGAAAAAAATAGAGATAAAATTATTTTAACAACTTGTCAATTGTCGTCGTCAAAACGTCTTAGTATCGCAAGGCGTTGCAAACACTCAAAGACCGATATTTCACTCCGTACACATTCAGATACAATCTGTTCAATTTTTCTGTCAACTAAAATGTCACTTTTTCTCCTTCTTTTTCCCGCACAATAAAAGGACCCTCTGACAATTTTTATGTCCGACAGTTTTGCTTCCTTCTTCAAAAGCATGATGAAATAAAGCATCGATGGCCTTTTAGGAATTCTAGAATTAATTCTTTTATGCCACCCTTCGATTGCGTTTGTCGTTCGAAATTTCTCGCCAAAACAACTGAAAACTTCTCTCGTAATAAGATTGATCCATTGCTTCGAGAAATAATTTTGGAATTGTGTACTTTCTTCAGTATTAGGAGCTAATTCACATAATGTCAGATACGCCTCCGGTATAAGCGACGCTGGCAACAGTGCTAATAAGGAAAAGAGCTGAGTACATTTACGACCCTCGTTGGATGAACTAAAATTAATCGATTTCGACTTTTTCCAAACTGCGTTTGTAAAATGATAGTAGCAACCCTTTACTACAATGTCAGGATATATTGCCTTTATCGCTTGGATAATAGCCAGTTCGTAGTCACATTTGAAAGTGCTGATATTCATAAAAAATTGATATTTTAAAATTTTGAAAAGTCTCTCGTATGTAGTTTGGCTTTTGTTGGGCAACAAAGCGAACAACAATGGCACAAAGCACACAGTTCCTGATTCATGCGTAATGTCAGCATGTACAGAAAACAGCTGATAGAAAGGAATCGGGCAACATCTAAACGTTCCATCAACGTACACAATATCAACTGTTTTCAATGTTGCTTTTGCCAGTCGAGTACCAAAAATTATAATCTTCTCTTCAACACCATCGTCATACAAAAAGAAATCACTTACTAAACTGTCTGGCAACTGCACATCTTGGGGTCGCAAAAATTTACTTTTTTTTACATTTAAAAATTTATAGCGTGCCCGATACAGCGTATCCTTTTTTGAACTGAATGTAGGTAATTCCTCTGGGGAAAGCATTTCGCCCTGACCAAATGTATGATCAGAATCCTGTTTATGAAGTTTGTAATAGTGTTTCTCAAAAATTTCAGGTATAGGCGCCATATTAAGACAAACCTCTTGTTTGGCTAATGACATTGTGAAATCAATTTTGTTACGTTCATAATCTGGTAAACATACATGTTTAGCTTCTTTCACAATTTCTTTATTATCAGCTGTTAATGTTATGGAAGTGCTACAAATGTTTTTATTGACGCATCGCCAATTAGTTGTACCACACATATTTGTTTTAACAAAATTATATTTATGGCCAGCGTGCAGAAGCACCATTCCTTGATTCGATAACCGGCCTTTACCTATAACAATAAGTAAAAAACTTCATTCGGTGCTTCTTTTCCGTGGTTCAGTCGTGATATACCGGTTGACAGGACCACAGCTAAACTTTTGGTTGTCTATAGATTTGACTGTACCCATGGTCACTAAGAATTATCGTCTGTCCGGTTAACTGTACTACCACATGAAAGTTTAGGTATGGTATGGTCCGGTCAACCGATCTATCACAACTGAACTACTCCCCAGTTCTATCCATCAATACATGTTGTACAGCTCCAAACGGAACAGAGACGATAGGAAAACTGTCCTGACACAGTAAATGAATATTCATAAAAATTAACAGCTCATAAACTGAGTCGTACCTTTATTTCCTTCAATTATCACGATGTTAATTTTTCCAGAACTAGGGCCCGCTTTATCCATTTTTGAAAAAAAAATCAATGATTTTACATAGAGATAGGAAAATTAGCTTACATTCAAGATATTTCATGACAATGTCAAATCAATGACATGTTTAATAATTAGTTTTATCAAATCACCAGTAACAAAACAAATTATACAGCAAGGAGATTACACTTTCCACTGCAATTTACTCATATACCTACTCTGCTGTTTCAATCCACTATTCCCCGGGAGTCAACAACAAGCATCGTGTATGGATACCCACGGTCCATACATAGGCCTGTGCCCTGCAGTGGGACGTATACAGGCTGTGTGATGATGATGAAACAAACCGACACACCATAATGCGTTATATGTTATGTATTGTGAAAAAAAGGATCAATTAATAATTTCAAATAAATTTAAAAAATGATCACGTGCATCATAAATGCACAAATTAACCATTTATGATGTATCGGTTTGTTTACACCCTGGGAACAGTGGATTGACATTTTGACCAAATATTGTGATATCATCATCAGTATCACTTCAGCCGAAAGACGTCCACTGCTAGAAATAGGCATCCCTCAATGATAGGCATCCTCAATTATCGCCACGACGACAAAAAAAAGTACTATTTAAAGGCCCATACAAAAAGTAACCAACGCGCAAGGAACATGCAGACATACGTTAAACTTATGTTACCGAGGCGTATTTCAAATACTTTTGCGTGCACCTGTACAATTTCCGGTTTTTTGAGAATCTGTCTTCATGAGAATCCGTCTTCTTGAGAATCCGTCCTATTGAGAATCTGTCCTTATGAGAATAAAGGGTGTCTTTGTACTTGGTCTTTCAACGACCAAGTTTAAGTTTTTATTGAAATATCAGATATTTTTTAAATCCTATCTAACAAAAATTTAGTTCAAACGTGCAAGCGTCCTCCCGTATGACCCCCACATATAATTGCACAAATTATTAAATATTTTTTGTTTTTATTTGTTTTTTTATTTTTTTGTTATTGTTGTTTACGATTTTAGGAATATAGTCCTGAGAGGCAACACGATATGAATCGAAAGTCAAAGTTTTTTAAAAATAGTTTTTATTTCTCGTTAAAAGTGTCCAAGTTTGCATCGCAAGGTATTATTATACCATCTTTTTTTTCTTATTCGATCTTTGGTATAAAAATTCCGTCAACTGCATCTCCTTTTTCTTTCCACACAGCACTCTACAGACTTTCTGTATTACTTTCTTCAACACGTACAGTACGACTACAACGAATGCCACTTGGTCCAGCATCCATCTTTCGTACCATTTGTACAAATACGTCGCCGAACGAAGGTGGTAGGCTCCTGTGGAAATTACAATATTTAGTATAATATCTATAGTTGTATGACACTAAATCAAACATAAAGAAGTATTTTAAGTAGCTATGGCAATTTCGAATTGATTTTCAATTGACAATTAAGTATACACTACAGTTACTTTGAATTTAAGTCAGAACTAAATCTTTACTATTTATTATATAGACATTTATGTACAGTCATATACATGAGAGACCTGACCTCCTAACATGTCCAAACCGACCTTTTGGTTCTGCGAGCTATCTTACGTATTGAACAAAGAAAAAATTAAAGCTATTTCAACTTTATCGTATAAGCAATACAGTGGAGTGTTGCTTGAAGATGATCAACTTATTTTTAAAACCAATACTAAATTTCGTCACTTAACATTCAAGTAAAGTGGTCGAGCGGCTTATTATATGGACTGCCAGTTACAATATCCGTGGTTCGATTCCACGAGCACTATTTTGTTTTAACGTTATATTTTTAACAGCATTGTTTCGCTTTTTAATGTTAACGTTGACAAATCATAATATTTGTTCACTAGAAATTGCCTAAGGTGGGTGAGTAGATATTATTAATAAAGCGTAGGGTGGGTATGGATAGTGTTAGCAATTCAGCAAACTTGAACTGCCCTTCTTTATTCTGCCTTCGATATCCTTATTGTAAAATGAAACTTCCTTAATCTGAAGTGGACTGTATATTCATATATGTCGATCTGACTTACAAATGCGAGAAACAACTAATCCAGAAAAACTGAATGTGACAAGTGAAAGTGATTGATTCGAATGACAATTATCGCTTATACTTATATCGGTACGGTGTCTCCCACACCGTACCGGTCCTATCAATGGGTCGCTACGCCCCTCGGCCAATCAGAGCTCCTGAATTATTCATTCTCCTCTGAACTCTAGCCCCGACCGGCGAGGTGCGTACGGCCGTCCGTAACAGATAGATTAACTGTTCAATTAATAAATTGAACATTAAATAAACATTTCAAATTCTTTATTTAGTTATATCAATGGGCAACATTCGTAAAATATATGTAAGATGCCGTGTTAAATATGTGTTACGTTTTATGGCAACACTTCTACTATAAAAACTGTTCCATACGAGAGTGCTTAGCTGTATTTCAAATATACAAAAATTCAAATTTCTAGCCTGCGTTTTATTGAACATTAACAAATCACGAAATCGCTTTGCAGTATGCATACGATCGTGTCTTCTGTGATTACGCATTGTTCCGCGTTTCGTTCCCATTTATCTATTCAGTTTTAATACTTTTAAAGTTTTCTTTCTTGTTTTAATAATATGCCGCACTTAACGAAATTATTAAAATTAGAAATTATTGTTTTATATGAACAAGACTTACACATAAATTATTAATACAAAGATCGAACACTCAGAAAAAATTCATTCGATCCGGCCGGATTCGAACCGACGTCTTCTAGCATACCGTGCCAGACGCTATACCAACTAAGCCTTGGAACGAACCAGCGGACCTCACGAATTTTTCTATGTGCTTGTTGTCATGTCTTTGTGTTTGGTTTTTCAACGACTTTTTAGTCGTAGCGCCATCTATGAGAAATCTATGAAAGTTTTATCAACCAGTTAGATACCTTTGCAGCTACCAGCCCCTGCGAGAGATGTCGCTATTCACTGTTTTAGAACTAGTGGAGTAATTTCACAAAAAATAATTGAATATCAATTTCGATAAAAATTTAAAAGACTCACACATTCTTACAGAGGTGAAAAACAAAAAAAAATACTTTATTATATAGTCATAGCCAAATAATATTTTATTTTTAATGTGACTCCAACCATGCTTGCCTCAACTTGCAAAGCAATCCGTAAACCGCTAAATCACGATGGCTTTACTATAGCTGGTTGAAATTTGTGTTCTGTGTTTAAGCAAGAACTATACGTTAAAGATCAAATTGGCTTAAGAACTTTCTTACAATGTCTTTCAATAACGTGACGACCAGGGAGTTATACCAAAATAAATTTCACGGCGCACTGGTTAAAGATTAAGTTTGTTTAACAAATATCTCCACATTCTTGTGCACAGAACCAAAAGGTCGACAAAGTCGGCTTGAGGGGTCAGGTATCTTGTGTATATGACTGTACCTTTCTGAAGGTTGCAAGGTTGCAAAAATATATCAATTTTGCAATATATCTAAATTGGATTCCTACAGTAATAATTATTTTCATCTCACTGGCTCGGAAAGTCTTTCTCATTACAAATCTGCGCGCAAAAGCGATTTTTGCACGCTAGCGTGGGAATTGTTTTTGAAATTTGAACTTGACGGTGGACTGTGGCGCACCTAACTTTTTCTTTCGTTGAAAAAAAAAGATAAGTGCCATTATCTCAATTAAGCGATTTGTCGTACACTTGGAATAATAACGCATAGAATGATAGTTTCATATCAAACGAACTGTCACAAGTGAGGCAAAAATCAAATTCATGTAGGCTAATTTTAGTAGTTAATTTTCGGTTTTAGTGAATATTTATATAAAAATACAAGTTGAAACACGTTACTTCCTTGTGGAATGTGATGTTAGTATCTATTTTATGTTTGTCTGACGTATTTTTACACTCATTTACCATACATTTCGTCATTTTTAGCTAAAATTCTGGAGCTGTTCGAGGTGCAAGTTGACCTTGATCACTGAAGACCCGCCCGCTCGTGTAGGCCCTTTGGGAGCACTTCAATTTGCCTCACTTAGCGTGTGCGGGATAGGTTTCTATGCGTTATTATTCTAAGGTCGTACATTACTTATTTATGTAGGTAACATAAATCCGTTGGTATATTTTATTCTTATTATTGTTGACATTAAACTGACAGTGATAACTAATTGTGTTTATTAAATTATTTTAATTCGTCGAAGAACTAAAATAAATTCAATAATCACTTAATCACATACATAATAAAAATTGATGAGGTGTAAATTCAGAACGCATCCGAAGATAAGCTTTTTCTTAAAGATTATAAAAGCAGTAAAATGTATGCATAAAATTTATTCATTTGTTTTTCGAAATTCGAAATTTTAAAAATGAAATCTAATACGATCGTCACATGAAGGATGGCTGTCCAGCATAACTTCTACCTCCGGCAAACTCGCGTCAAAGCTCAATGCAAAACAAAGTAGTTTCGAATTGAAGATAAATTAGCATTTTTATTGTCGGTTTATTAAAACTTTTTAATCAGCTACCCCTTGCAATACTAGTCATAAATCTAAAAACTTATAGCTGCGATTCGCATTTCATTATATTGTTCTCCGGTTTGAAATGTAACTACAACAAGAACAATACAACACGTAAATGTAAAAGCGCTTAGAATAATAACGCATAGAATGATAGTTTCATATCAAACGAACTGTCACAAGTGAGGCAAAAATCAAATTCATGTAGGCTAGTTTTAGTAGTAGGTTAATTTTCGGTTTTAATGAATATTTATATAAAAATACAAGTTGAAAGGCGTTGCTTCCTTGTGGAATGTGATGTTAGTATCTATTTTATGTTTGTTTGACGTATTTTTACACTCATTTACCGCACATTTCGTCATTTTTAGCTAAAATTCTGGAGCTGTTCGCGGTGCAAGTTGACCTTGAGCACTGAAGGCCCGCCCGCTCGTGTAGGCCCTTTGGGAGCGCTTCAATTTGCCTCACTTAGCGTGTGCGGGCTAGGTTTCTATGCGTTATTATTCTAAGTAAAAGCGTATATTCTCACCTTTGCTTTCGATAGCCAGTTCAATGTAATGCGTTATTAGTTTAGACGGTGATACAGGACGGTTATTAAACAATTTCGACAGATATTTCGCGCGGTGGTAGTAACTGGAATAAAATGAGGATAAAATTACAACACAAGCAATATAGGTTGAAATAATATAGGTATAAACATTAGACATCACATAGATTGCTCTGATCCCAAAGTCAGTAACTAAAACACTTGTGTTGTGGAAATCGGAAAAAAACGACGGTACCACAAACACCCAGACCCGAGACGATATAGAAAAGTTAGTTTTCTACATTGACTCGGCCGGGTATCGAACCCGGGACCTCAGAGAAGACGACCGGTGTGCAAACCAGTAGTAGATCACGGAGGTCGTCAATGACATTCATCTGACTCTGGTAACTAGAAGAAACACAAATAAATAAACCGTTGTTATTTATTTCTTGATGGGCTAGCGGATTTAATCATTTTACACAATTCCCATGTTTTTTGTTCTGCTATAATGTACAGTGGATGCCCCAAGACATTTGACTCTCTTGCCGACTATTTGGTTCTGAGTAGATCAGTGCAAAGAAAAGTGTTAAACAAACTTAAAGTTGCGTACAATGGCGATAGCGCACGCTAACATTTAACTTTTGAGCTATTGACTTACAAATAAATGGACGACGGGTCTAATACACAAACCACGAAAAAAATGTCCCAAGTCAACCTATTTAAACGTAGTGACATGTAAAGGAATATGAAAAAAGCTAAAACGTTGAATTTAAATTGTAATGTCGTCGCAGTACTGTCTAATTTTGCTTGCTTCGCTGTCAGTCGAGCAAACCAAGACTAAGGCGTGAATGACGCTCTGTATACGATTTTAACGCCCTATAAGTTCGGACACTTTTTAGCGCGGACCCGACGTCCATATAATTGTAAGTCAATGTTTTGAGCGGTAAAATTCATTTTGGTGTGATTTCCTCATTGCATCGTTAGTGGATCACGTTTCATTGAACTTTTTAAATCAACGTGATCTTTAATTACATTACATTAAAATAAATTTCATCCAAAAAGCTGGAATGCATAAGAAGCCACTCAGAACCAAAAGGTCAGTCAGGGGTCAAGTATCTTAGAGCATCGATTGTACTAATTACTTAAAAATTGCAATTTAAGATAAGGAATTTATAAATTATTTCTATTAACAAATTCCTTATCTTAAATTGTGCCACTGTGGTCTTCCGAGAAGATAAAATTAAATACAATCGGCTCACCTATCATTTCTCAGCATTTCTGTCAAAGCTATCTCCAATTTTGGGGCGAATGTTGGTTCAAATGGAACCACACGAGCATATCCAGCTTGTTCAGCTCGACGAGCGTTTACGGGCTGATCGCCGAACACAGGCACGGCGAGGAGAGGGACTCCGTAGTGGATGGCTTCAAATGTGCTTAGGGCACCACCATGGGTTATAAATAGACGGATGTTAGGGTGCGCTGAAAAAAGTTAAGGATGAAAATAATCCATCACGATTATTAAGCCTAGTAATCCTGCAACATGAACTTTTTGCTAGACTATGTTATTATACTTAATTATTTTAAAAACCTTGCCGATGTAATACTGCTCTACATTTCAATATATATAGGATTATTTTTAAAGTACTAACAACCTCTAATTAGCAGTAGGAAAGTAAGGTAGGTTCGTCCAGGAAAGTACTGCCTTACCTATTTCTGCCTCCAAGCAGTAATGTCAGCATTACTGTGTTCCGGTTTTTAAGGGCAAGGGTGCTGGTGAAATTACAGGCATATGGGACTTGTAATCTTACGTCTCAGGGCGATGGGCGCCCTTCAAATATTTGCGATTTAAAGCTCTGAGAGTCCCGTCACTTGATATTATAAAAAAATAAAATATATACCTCGCAGAACTATAATACTAACGTCATAAACAACAATTTTTGATCCATTATCGAGTTCTTAGGTTTTCGCGAATGTTACACATAGGCAATGAAACTATTCTAATTAAATCGAGTATATTTGTTTTTTCAAGCAAACCAACGTTTCGGGCCCTTTACAAGTCCCATGTCCCAGTAAACCGTGACCATGTTACCTGTAAAGGGCTCAAAACGTTAGTTTGTTTGAAAAAACAAATATACGCGATTTAAATCCGGAAAAACAGTTTCATTTTATTCCATTACTTTTACAAAACATAATAAATTTAAGAAAAGTAATCTTTTAAGTTTTTGTTGTATTATCTGACCCTTTCTATATCTGTATTTGGTAGAATAAATTCAAACGTGCAAGCTCTTGCACGTTTTCCGCATTCCATCGTTTTCTGATCACCCGTTTTCACTACCCGCGACATTCTTCAAATCGTCGGTCCATCTTGCAGGGGGCCGGCCTACGTTACGTTTGCCGATACGTGGTCTCCACTCGAGAACCCGTCTACTCCATCGCTCATCGGTTCTGCGACAGATGAATAGATGTGGCCAGCCCACTGCCACTTCAGCTTGCTACATTTCTGGACGATATCCACTTTAGTCTTATTTTTATTTATTTATTTATTTCAGGCAACTAGGACCCATAGATACATACCTTACAGACTAACATACATATAATATAACAATAATATAATAAAACAATAACAGAAATATTAAATAAATACCTTACGGACTAATCATAAATACAATATAACATGATAATATACATATAACACTATTTATTTACACGTATGTACTTCGACGTGTAACGCAACGTGGGTGTCCGGTAGCCGTCCTCGGAAACGCCGGTACATGACACCCTTCGGCCAAAAGTCTTCTCTCATGAAGGTCGACAGGTGTTGAGTTGGTGCTCGCACCACTTATGAATTAAAATTCACATTGTGGCGCGACTCCAACCGCTCGACCCTCAGGTTTGCGTTGGCCTTCACTCGCATGTACTCCACAATATCCGCAGACTTGGTGGAGTAATGAAGACGCGACACGTATAACAACGTCGTCGGTACCGCTGGACGCAATAAATGATTCGGGCCAGTCAGGGCGGTGCCACTAAGGTTTCGGCTGGTGTTCTTCTTTTTCTTTTCCACCTTCCGAAAGCCGTCCTCGTCGCACTGATCAACTCGTCTCGGTGGTACTGACGACGCAGCTCCAGATACGAGTTTCTTTTTCGGTTTTCCCTTCCCTTATGCTGGATAACTTCGTTCCGAACTTTGTCCCTTAACGAGATACCCGTACGTATGTACGTCGTCCTCCGCGACGCCTCCCACCCTCGTCTTGCACAGTTATTACGGCTTAAAGCGATCTATTTAAATCTATTTAATTTATGCATGAAAGTAAAATCTGATGAATAATTAATAGTTATGATCTTGTGAGGTTGTTAGTATTTTAAAAATAAGCCTGTGTAATTTGCCAAACACTAATGTTAGCCAAGTCAGCTAAAAGCGACCTTATACATTTCATAAACTTTGGTGATGGTTAATCATTCAGTCATATGGAAATACTATTATGGAGTCACAACATAGGACATAAATCGGATAGTTAGTTTTTTTTTTGAAGTTTTATATGTTATTCGGAAATTCGGTTTTTTTTCATCCTCTAAGAGTTTTTTGTTGTAGAATTGTGATTTGAAGATCATTGTTTGCTAAATATGTTTAATTCTTTTGACGGTTACCTTACTGCCACCTTACCTATTTCTGCCGCCAAGCAGATTGCGTTTCGGTTTTGAAGGAGGGTACTGGTGAAATTATGTCAACTTACGTCTCAGGGCGACAAGGGCCGTTTAGCAGTGTCTCTCTCTGAGTTCCAGCTCTGAGTGACACTGCAACTTTTATGGATAGGTGTATCGCTTACCGCCAGCCGCACGACTTGTTCATTCCGTCACTTGCCATGTAAATATTCATGTTGAAGGCGATTATGCTATGTTCGCCAAAAGATCCACCAGTAAGTAAACCAATGGACAACTTATCATCTGATGAGATTTTTGCGACAGGGAAAACCAACCAACCTACCATATAAAGTGTATGAACTTATCGAGTTCTTAGGTTTTCGCGATTGTTACACATAGGAAATGAAACTATTTTTCCGGATTTAAATCGCGTATATTTGTTTTTTCAAACAAACCGACGTTTCGGGCCCTTTACAGGTCCCATAGTCATGGTTGACTGAGGTGGTACAGTCTTCAACCAGTTATGTCTAATATTAATGCAAACCACCCTATTTTTTCACTATAGTTACAATAGTTATTAATTAAATACCTTATTTTTAATTTTACAAAGAAAACATTCCAATTTACGCTACATTAAATTTTACAAATTATTTTATTGAATGAATTTTTATTAAGTTTAATTTATTATTAATTATTAATAGAAATTAGAATAAACTAAAACATATTAATTAGTACTGCAGTCTTATGTCTGTTTGGGATTTTTAATTAGAGGAAATACTGGATCCCAAACTGGTGGTACGGAGAAACCATCTTCCCTGTTGAAATTAGGATATAATTTCAATGGCCTCTCGTAGGTTTGTTTGAAAAAACAAATATACGCGATTTAAATCCGGAAAAATAGTTTCATTTCCTATGTATGAACTTACCTAAAATATTAGATTGAGGCCACCAAGTCCTAATATGAACATTCTTAGGTAATCCCTTAGGTATATGGTCTAGTTTCCACAGGACAGTCATTTTCAATGACCCTAGAATTTGTATTAGTCTGCTTATCGTCTCTTCTGGTATTGTGGACGATTTGATTATTGAGCCCATGCTGAAGTATACTACACCTTGTACAGAGGTGTCCATTAGTTCTTGAAGCTCCTGTGAAAAAAGGTACACGTATCAAAGTTTATCAGTCTTCGAAGACATGCCAAGCCTATCGGACATATCGGTAGTGTCACGAACGGCCATACGCGCCTGGCCGGTCAGAGCAATACCAGTAGCTTTACGTAAATAATATGTAGCTCTGATTGGCCGGGCGGCGTCCGCGATGGTAAGGCCGGTACGGTGTGGGAGACGCCGTATCGGCTTGTATATAGGAGAATTGTTGATTCGATTTCATTCATATTTGTGACTTGGTAGTTCAAGAATAGTAGTGTATATGGTCCTCTTAAGAATAAGAAGCTTCAATAAACGGAAGAATACGAACTGTCTGCAGGTCGATTCAGAACCTTACGATAACTCTGTTGTCGACCGATTCGAGTAGATATCGTACGATTTCTTTTCATTTTTATTCACAATAACCGAATCAAGCGTCAAACCGAAATGACGTCACACCCGTACGATTACTCGTACTTCTCGACCGGCAAAGGCTACAAACGTTATTCCGAACACAGTTATCGAATGAAAGCTACCGAACGTCCGACTGTTTACAAAGCAAGATTGTAATGGGGAAATCATTTATTATTTTAAATAAAATCTGGATTTAGTTCAATATGCGAGACTAATGAATTCCCATATTTTAGGCCTTTAAACTCTTAAAAATGTATATAAAAGGATTTCATTTTTCTTGTAATATATTTCACCGACTAACTCCGTAAACTATGTTGGATAACGATGTAGTATTTGAATCCAAATCGAACGTTTATCCGAATAGCCTGGAAAGCGCCTTTCGATTCGAGAACAATATCTAATCGAACGATTCGATTAAAATATCAAAGAGTTCTGAATCGGGTCCTGGTCCGTTCTGATTCTTCGGGAATCCAACAGGTAGATTGAGTCTGGTACAAACAAGTCGTGCGCCTGGTGGTAAGCGACTCGTCTATCCATAATCGGCCACTCAGAGCTTTAAATCTTAAAGATCTAAGGACTTGAGACATTAAGTTGAAAATCCGATGTGTCTGTAGTGTACTCATACCCATCACAATAAAAATAATCTTTATTTCATAGGTAAGCTTTATTATGCTTGAAATTGTCACATTGGTTAAACTCTACCGCTCATTCGTAAGGCAGATTTTCCTGAGAAGAACGAGCAAGAAACTGAAGGGATTGCTGTTTGTAAATAACATTCAACATTTACAATATACTTTTTTATTGTCTTCAAACATCAGCGATCGAGAATACCTTCATGAGCTAAACGGGTTACTACCACGGATTCTTGTTATCCAAGTACGCAGAATAAAGTTCTTTTTTTCACTGTTTTGTGTTGTAAACCTCGTGAATGTCAAATTTTGTATATCAACCGGAATCTTGTTATAGAAGCATATACATTGCTTCTTAAATTAATTTGTGACTTTTTGAAGACGATTATCAAGAACAGCTAGTTTCTTTTTATTGCTCGTATTAATGTTACGTCTGTCACTATTTTTCATAAAGAAATTACTATTCCTCTTAACATAAATTACATTTTCATAAATGTACTGTGACGCTAGTGTAAGAATGTTAATTTCCTTAAACCTATCTCTCAAAGATATTCTGGGACCCAAATTGTAAATTACCCTAACCGCATGTTACTGCAGGACAAATATTCTATTGATATCGGCGTCATTACCCGAAAGCAAAATGCCCTATGTCATTAGACTGTGAAAGTAGTTGAAGTAAACCTATCTAATGGTTTCGACATCTGAAAGTATCAGTATTTTTAATCGCACACTGCAGAGCTGAGCCGTTTTGATTACTTACTCATTTGTGGACCCCATTGCAATTTAGCATCTAACGTTATAGCTAGAATTACAACTTTATCCAAAATCGGAATGCGGTAATGTGGGCATTATTGCATAATGTGAGTATAATCGTCTTTGACATGAGCATTTACATGGCAAATGACGGACGAACATGTCGTGCGCCAAGTGGCAAGCGATACGCAACTTTATGAACAGGCGTAACGTTGTAGTGTCACTCAGAGCTAGAGCTCAGAGAGAGAGAGATAGAGATACTACTAGATACAGTCCCCGTCATTCTTAGACGTAAGTTGACAAGTCCGATGTGCCTGTAATTTTACCAGCGCTTCAAAACCGAAACGCAGTAATGCTACTTATTTTTTTAAAGTATAAGTACGCATTTGACCTCCATCTCATCTGGTGGAAAGTTACGACAGAAATAGATATGGTATTTTACTGCTAGGCGGCAGAAATAGATACTGGCAATACTTCCCATGATGAACTCTATTACAAGGAGCTACTAAATCTCTACTCTCTAATCTACTGCTACTAAATTTCCCATGACCCGTCTTCTTCTTACCATATAGATGGCATACAATATAATATTGTGTTCCAGAACTCAGCCACGCCGACCGTAGCAGAAATTAATTCCTCATAAAAGTTGAGATTTGGGTCTACTATTACACTCCAGAGAGCGAGTTGCCGAGCAAAACATTACGGAGCGTTGGAAACACCACCACAATGAAAGCCAAAAACGCCGCAGTCGGCTGGGATAGTTCTCGCAACTGTGTTCCGGGACTCAAAACGTGTTCTATTGCTGCATTTTCTTCACGAACAGAGAATAGTTCATGCTGGCAACTACGTGTATTATATTACATTCTTTTAAATCAAGCAAAGGCCGCTTAAGAGAAAAAGAAGCTAAAATAATCCATCAGAGACGTTATTTGGCTGCGGAGAACGCACCAAAAGCTAAGTAAAATGTCCTGAAAAACCCTTGAAGACCATTTAGTCCTGATTAATCGCGTTTTTAGTGTGATTTTCACATGTTTGGTCTTCTGAACATTGCAATAGCAGGGCAGCATTTTACGGATTATGCGGAGGTTGAGAGTTTTGAGCGTAATTTGCTCAAGGACAAATGTCCCTTGTATGTTACTTGCTTATAGTGAAGTTATAAAATCGAGTTTATAAAAATTGTTACCTTAGGTGTGGGCGTGCCTTCATCAATGTGGTATCCGCCAATATCAATAACGTTAGGTGGTAGACTCTGCGCCGGAGCAATGGAAGGATGAGAGTTGACCAGCACTATGGATATATTGGAAGATGCCACTCTGAAAGGGGGTAGATCTACGCCTCTAGCTTGGGCTAGGGGAGAGAAGAAGAATTCATAACGGGATGCATCCATGGCTGCGTTGTACCTGTAAAATGTCCGAAGTATCGGTTAGTAAAGCTGGACAGCTTTCAGCAACTATTGTGAAATCAATTATTATTATTGAGCTGTTGCTAGAGCAAACGTCAATATACGAAATTAGTTGACATCTTTAAGTCATTCATAATTCAGGCATTACTTTGCGGAAGTCCATGTTAAGGCGAGTCATCGGAGGGGAAACGGGAAAACTGTTTTGCTAGAGCAAATAATTTTGGTGTTGACTATTATATAACAGTCTAACAAAAATATAAGATATACCTAAGTATATTGTCTTAAGAATCTGCTAATTTGTTACACGATATGGCGTACTTTATCCGACCATATAAAATCCTGAAAAAAGCCTAAAATAATAATATTATTTATTTCATTCATTATACACATACAGCAAAATTAAAAACAATGAGTATTTTACATAAAAAAAACTTATTTCACTGACTGTATGTACGTGCTACGTATATAAAATGTTTAAACTAACGAATCCCAAACTGAGCAAAACCTTGTATTTTAGGATTAAGTGTTCCTCCACTCACGGGCTATCATTAGGTAAATACAGTACAACCAAGGGGTATAAATGAACAGTATAAAAAAGACAATTGCTATGGTATGTAATTATAAAAACTACGACAATATTAAAATTAAAAATAAAGGCTAATAATATATATACATAAAAAAATTATAAAAAGAGAAACCCTAAAAAAAAAAATAGTTAAAAGTATATATACTTTTTATTCAATGTGAATGCTAATCTATACCCTAAATTTAATTATATTAAGAGATCTTAAGTATCTGCATAGTCAAGCGTTTGAAACCATTTACTGAGACCTAATTTTATTCAAAGGATATGTGGTGAATTCAGCCCGCAAAACTGAACTCCTGCTTTATTCTCCTTCGATAATAAAAAACTCCTTGATTTAAAATGGACTGTATATTCATATAAAACAAAAATGTCAATCTGACTTACGAAACAAGAAATTGTAACAAGTGCTTTCATGAGCGAATATAAAAAGTGAATGCGTACAAACTAAAACTAGCTTATATTTATACCGGCACGATGTCTCCCACATCGTGCCGGTCCTATCAATGGGTCGCTACGCCGCTCGGCCAATCAGAGCTCTTGAATTAATCATTCTCGTCTGAACTTCAGCTCTGACCGGCCAGGCGCGCACGGCCGTCCGTAACAGGATAAATGGACGAAAATAAAAGTGTAAGACGAATTGTTTAAGAATAAAACATCTAATTTTGTACATAAATTTTATATGGAGATATTTCTCCTTAAGTATTACAGAGAACCTGCTAAATTTTGGTTTTCAACCGATGCGTTATACCTGGTTAAATTTACAGTTATCCCAAAACGCGTCAGGCGCCATCGGGCGCTTGTCGACGTCGGGACTGGGTCAAATGTCCCCCCCCTCCAAGTCTCACTTCCTAAATACGTTTTAATTATACCTCGATTAACTTATCGATGATTATGGTACAACACTAAAGAAATACGCCATTTGTGGTGTACAATTTTCATCGAGTATTTAACCAGAAATAGAGACGAAATGTCATTTAATTTGTTTGAAAATTATTCTGTCATATTATTACTGTGACAACTGCGCTCCGATTGGCTAGCCCGAGTTCTAAAAGTTGACGACACTCGTCAATTGTTTCATTTCAAATCGACCAGTTAACTTGAGCTTTGCTATAATGGACGAAAATTACAAAATTACATATTTAATATTTAATTACCGATGAAATGTGATTCCGTTTGTTTTGTAATTAGATGTTTTGCTGTTTTTCCCACACCACCGAATAGAACAGCACGGCATTTTTAGAGATATTATCTTTATTACAATAAATACAGAATATTTTTGGAATATACGGAGACGTACACACAGGTCAGTAGTTGGCCTGTCTATATTTCAGTGCAAAAGAGAGTTGATATTTATAAGAGCTGTATCGCTAATGTGTTACCAGGAATATATACCTCTTATTTCGTCTTTATTTCTAGGTATAAACTCGATGACAATTTTGGTTTAGGTAGGCACGTTTATTTCGTGGATAGGGCAGCTCCTTTATTTTTTTCCATCCTCTAAGGACTTAACACACGTCGTGTCAAAATACTGTCAAAATGGCATTTTTCATTAGTCCATATCAAAGTCTCATCGCAATCATTCCGCACACACGCGGACACGTAACTCGTTTCATAATAAGAAATTATTAAAACGAAAAACAGACGCAGCTACGTGTATCGGATTTTACTTTTCGGAGTAGACGCCCGGGTTCGCGATGTAGCAAATTAATTTACTTCCATTTTTATTAGTATACGTTGTGTGACGTTGTGTACTCACATTGTTAGTCCGGTAAATATCATAAATGATGCGGTATTAACTAGCCGTTGCCAAAAATTCATTGGTATTGAGTATTCAGTCATCAATGATGGCACAGTCGAAACTGAGCGGACGTCGTCTACGAGGTTCTCGACGTGTGTACTCATATGAGTGAATAGAACTATCCAGGGAACTTTTTGGACAGCTGCGTAGCTGAAATTTAAATAAAATTATCATTATTGTAGACGGAAGTAGTGGTTCTGTTATTTAGGAACTTTGTGATTGTCAGCCGCAGTGTACGCTGATACGCTTCCATAACTTCGTTTAAAAAAAAACGTCTGCTTAAAGGTAAAACCACAAAAGTGTCATTTTCCACAAAAAATCTCCTACATAAATATATAGATAAAACTGTTATTGAGTTTATAGCTTTTTTATTACAGAGTTTCAACTGCAGAAAGATTTATTTATTTATATCCAACTTACAGCTATCATTACAGGTTGTACCTAATGAGATAGTGTCGATGACAAGCCTTACTTAATGACCTTTAATTTAGGGAATAGCAAACTTAATAACTACATTTATGGTAACACAAAACCCACAGAGCCGCTTTTACGAATTCGTTCAATGAACAACAGAATATATTCACGAAATTAGTGATAACATTTAGGTTACGCAACGTTCGGGTAAAGGGTGCTTCTTTTAACAAGTTCGTGCGCGCTCGCGGTAACGCGAACAGAGGAGGCGGTCGCCGCCGCCACACGCATTGATCCAGTGCACACAGCCCCACCAACTGTAACACTGGTGGATTTGAAACCCAGTCACGCAATAGCATAAATACATACTTAGTTAAACTTCAGTCCCTTCTGACTGCCAATTTGGTGTAACCCACCATTATAGTGATTTTCTCACCATAGCTATATAAATTAAAGACATTTTCTGGAAAATGTCACTTATGTGGTTTTACCTTTAAACAGATGAAATACTGTTATAATTATTAATACAAAGATCGAACACTTAGAAAAAATCCTTCGATCCAGCTGGATCACGGTCTTCTAGCAAACCGTGCCAGACCACGGAACCAACCAGTGGACTTGCTAGTTGCAAACTTTTGTTTTGATTTTTTAACGGATTTTTTGACGTAGCGCCATCTGTGACAAATATATTTCTTCACTGACTAGAGATGTCGCTTTTACAATTGTAATTAAGTAAGCACGGTTTGCTAGAACACGTTGGTTCGAACCCAGCCGGATTTAAGGATTTTTTTTCTGTAATAAACGAATAAATAAATAATACATTTTTTATTTATTAATTTGTTACATTGTTACACTTATATTATATTAAGTACAGTGGATTGAAACGTAACACCCTGTGAAGGCGCAACAAAGTGATGAGGACATTTACTCATTATAAAAGTAATAAAAGTAATAAAATAAAACTGTGATCATAATAAATAAATCATTACAATTACTAGGGAAACCCTGTGTCGCGGATGCCATGGACAAACACATAGACAACCATAAATCACACTCAACTCACGAGAGAAATAAATGTAGGCCATACAAATATTTCTAACGGCCAGGGAATCGAACCTAAGACCTCTGCGTGGCAGTCCGACATGGTTACATGCGTAAGATAAATTGAGAAGGATATCGAAGTATCTCAAATCAATTACATAATAAATTATACCTATACTGTCATTGAAAAATTCTTGAATATTACTATATCTTATCTTGAATAAACTTTTATTTATGAGGAATTCTTGGAGAAAATGTTTGGAGAAAATTTTAAATTCTTGAATTTCATTTATGTCTAAATTGGTATGTGATAGTACATTTTAGTTACCATAACTTGCGGTCCAGAATACACTAATTTCAATTTAGAAATGTATTCTGTGCGTCTATTATTTATTTAGATCTGGGGTCAGACGTAAAAAAATGACTGTTTTTTCTCAAAAAAAATTATAAAATCTTGGTTGTTGTTCTCGAATGCCGGCACAAATTCTTTCTTTTTTATATACAATTAAGTCATGAGACGATCAAGTTGTGCGCCTGAGGTGGTAAGCCTATCCATAATAATTCTGCTCTTCTTATCATAAATAACGTAATGGACATTTTTAGCAAAATGGAGTTATTAAATATGGGACCAGAGAAACGAGATCTACAACCCCCTCTAATCGGTTTTTTATATCTTATTTAGTTTCCAGTTTTATTGTTAAGCAACATCACCGTAACCGAAATTTCTTACTAGTAAAAACTTTACGTGCATATATTTCGAAAGTAACCGAAAGAAAAACAGAATTGAGTTTACCAGCACCTTTAGCGCTTTCATTCCGAATCCGAGACTACATAAATCTAGAATACTGGGACCCATTTCGGATGTCGCTTGTGCACTAAATGAGATTCGAGTCACCTAGAGATAAAATGATCGCTGTGACATATCGCACCGTCATTTCTTATATTCGGGACAGGACCCTGATTCAGAACTCTTCGATAATTTAACCGAACCGTTTGGATATCGTTCTCGAACGTTCCTATTAAACGTTCGATTCGGATTCGGATACGATATCGTTATCCAACAGCGTTTACGGAGTTAATTAGTTAATCCTGTTATATACATTTTTAAGACTTTAAAGGCCTAAAATAAAGTAATGCAATAGTCTTGCATTAAAATAAATTCATAAAATTGAACAAAATCTAGACTTCATTTAAAATAATACGGGCGAGTTCCCACTATGTCGTCACGTTTTACTATAGTTGAACGACTGTCGTGACTAGCTGTTCCCACTAGATCGTGATGACAATAGGAGCTGCGACAATCTATCCTCAAGCTTTTATCGTGACGTTTTTTTATCGTCCGACAACTGTCGTTCTAGCTGTTCGCACTGTGACGGCAGTTTGTCGTAGTAATGAAAAAAAATCGTCAACGACAGTTAATCGTGTCGTGCTATATGTGAACATCTTCATTTAAATATACAAGCCACGATACTGTAAACAGCACGACAATCTGTCGTCACGATATAGTGGGAACGAGCCCTAAGAGATTTCCGTATTAAATTCTTGCTTTGTAAACAATAGGACATTCGGGACCTTTTATTCGTTAACTGTGTTCTGAATAACGTTTGTAGCCTTTGCCGGTCGAGAACTTCGAGTAATCGTACGGGTGTGACGTCATTTCGGTTCGGTTTCGAATACGACAGTTCGACGTTTGATTCGGGTGTTGTGAATGAAAATGAAAAGTAATCGTACGATATCAAATCGAATCGGTCGACAACTGAGTTATCGTAAGGTTTTGAATCGACCCCTTGATACGAATCGGACGTAGTGTGCAAAAACTCTTGTCCTTCAAAATCTATGGACAGAAATAGTTATATCGGCAGTTCTTTTCCGGACGACTCTTTCACAAGGAGTTCTGCAGCTACTAATTCAAAGTAACACTCTGACTCACCCTGCGTCTGCATCTGACATGAACCACTCTGTAACTACAGCATCGAATTGTTGCATCACCAATATATCTCTGAGCTCCTTATTTCCCATCGTAGCAGAACTCACATTTCTCCCTATCTCCAGCATATATGATATAGATTGCTTTTTGTCGTTGTCACTCATGTCTATACCTAAAAAATATAACATACAAATTAAAATTATTTATTTCGAATGTTATACATCCACATTGGTTAGTAATAAACAAAAACTTACACACTAATGTTTGTGAATTACAACTATTGACTCTGTTTAGGGTACGTGTGAATTTTGGTCCAGTGCTCAAGCAATGAACCTTGGACCCTTCCAGCACTGATACTCAGGAGGCCGCTGCCGCTACCACGAATTCTGCGCATCGAGGAGGCCACTCTTTTTCGTATGATGCCAGCGAACCCATCTAATTGTGCAAACGCGAACATTCCCGAGGCGCTGCAGAATCGGGGCAGCCGCAACAGCATCCTGAATATACTATTATATACAACTCGTAGGGAGCTGAACGCTTTCTGGTTGTAGTTAACCCATAGGCTACAGGTGTAAAAGGTCTGGCGGTAAGCTTTAAATAGAGATACCTTAACGTGAACACAAGACCTTCGGTACAATGCGGCCAACATGTTGCCCCGCACTGCCAGCGCCGTACATTCTCTTTCAATATCTGTATTATCTTCTAAGGACTCTGTGACTCAGTGCCAAATTTAGTGACTTTATTGAGAGGCGAGCCGCACAGCTTATCTTCTGGAACGATGTACCAGATGGACCAGCTTTAAATACAAGCAACTCGCTTTTTGTCGCATTGTACCGAAGGTCTTGTGAAACTGCATAAAATTCTCACTTTTCCACTAGCTTCCGAAGTGCACTTATTGACGGACTCAGCAGCACATGTCATCCGCGTAACTGATGTTGTTTACAATAGTACCCTCAATTTAGCATCCGATGACAGTGTTACTGAATTCGACAATTAGACGGTTCATGAGGTTAAAGAGGTTCGGTGAGGTCAAACCGCCATGCCTCACGCCACACTCCAATACAGAACTACTGGAAGAGATCTGTAGACTGATTTTAGTTCAAACCGGAATCTATCCGATTGGGTAGCCCATCCGAGTCTCAAATCAAATAGGTTTCCTAGCGAGAAGAGATTTCTACTATATCTTTCTAATGTTAGAGTTAAGTCAACTATTGTACCGATTTGAAACGTCAAAGTTCCGATCCGCCAGTTGTGAATCGGAATTATGCGCCTCGATTCGGAAAGATGCAATTTCCGATCGGGAGAGGCAATCAAAATCAAGCTGCTGGTAACAAGATTTTTTTTTATAATATCAAATGATTTGACGAACAAGTCGTGAGCCTGATGGTAAGCTATACACCTGTCCACAACAGTTGCAGTGCCACTCAGAGCTTTAAATCGCAAAGATCTGAGGTGCACTGCCACTGCGCCCATGACCTTGAGATAATAATGCACCCTTTAAAACTGGAACACAGTAACGCTGACATTACTGCTAGTAAATAAGTAACGTGGAGGTACTTCCCTGGAGGAATTCTTTTACAGGGACCTCTATTGCTACTAACCTCCAATCTAAAATCTGATTAAACTATACTAAGTAACTTAAATCTATTCGCACTTTTTATCGTTACGGACATCCAAACTCATGGCACATGCAATGCTCACAGTGGCTATTTGACAAGCAATCACAGGATGCAGGTTTCTTATAATTCGTGGCTTGTGTGTTGTTATACGTTGTCATTAATATGGTTTACCTGTCTTTATGCCAATCTGTTCTAACATACTGCAACACAGCATGGGGTGTACCTAAATTAAAAAAAAAAGTTGAAAGAGTTGTCAGTCGGTCTCTACCTTTTCCGTTCCCTTCAGACCTTTATTCCCTTTGTGATGTTCTGTCTGTGCGTCAACTATTTCTTCTTCACACTGTCCGCAATACTCTCTTCTAAACTATGAACCCTTGCTTTTTTAAAAACAAATGCTTAAAACACAACGTCTGTCGTTCTTCTACTCAGCAGACCACAGCTTTCTCACATAGATTTTTTAGTTTACTAGGTGGGTACATGTATAATAAAATAAATAAGACAATTGGAATTTATCCACTCACAAAACTCAACTGTAAAAGGACTATTACCAATTGGCTTAGAAATTTGCATTTCTAAGCTACGATGAAACCAAAAATCTCTTAATAGTTCCAATTTCAAATTATCAGTATCAAATTAACATAGTCTATACCTTCTTGATGTCTAGTCGGGTTTTACACACAAACATACACTCTCATACACATCCACACGCAAACACACACACACACCGACACAAACACACACACACACACACACACACAACACAGGCATACCCGTTCACATTCACCTCACGCTTAAGTCTAGCGCTGTTCAATTTATAGGATTATAGTTATCTAAGTCCAAGTCTATACTTACCTTTAATCCGGAGTGTGGAGGGGCTGATGATCTGTAGCACAGGTCTCCTAGTACGGACGCCAGTCTCTCACACAGACTTAATGGTGTAATAATTTAGATAAGTTCACTAGTGTAATGTATTCTAAGACTTTGTGAGAGAAAGTAAAAATTTAATATTATTATACTGATTTTTAATAATTTGGAATTATAATAATATTTTGCATTTTAATTATTAGTGTAAACCAAAACAAACCTGTACACTCCTGAACACGTGCGATATAGTGGCCGAGTAAAGGGGGCAATTAACTGAGTGGATCCCTTTGCATAGGTCACGCACGTTTGTTTAGTGGCGTTATAGTAAATGGTTTCTATTCTATTCGATAAATAATTTACTTACTGTCCATGATTTTTAGTACATCCCTAAGGTAAACGAACTTTAAGTTCTTCTGAGGCTTGTTATCATCATACGGAGTTACCCATGTCACCTGAAAATCAATTTATTTATTCATTTAATCATTTATTGCATAGTAAAACACAGGTCACATTTAGTAAAAAAGTAAAACACAAACACAAAGTACTGCTTATTTATAAAATATATTTCGTCCTGCATATCTAAATACAATAGGGCTGGCAGGGCAGCAGGGACACAAGCCGCGAGATATTGCTATTTAAATGGCGAGTGGCTAAAGAGTGGAACATGAGTGGAATTCCCTACCTCCGGACTTATTCCCCGAACGCTATAACTAGGACCTTTTCAAGGCGAAAGTGAAGAGATATTATTTAGATGTACATGCTACATCGTCACTTTCCATCAGGTGAGATAAAGGTTAAATGCGCACTTATTTTTTATCAAAAATCAGAAAAATCTCGCATAGAGTATTACGCTTTATATCGCTCTCGTACATGTCTACTGGACACAATACTTACAAAACAAAATTATGTAATAAAAAAGAAAATGATTAACGGTAATTTTTTAAGTTTTGTATTTTTTTACTGGCTGTCTGAAACTAACCCTTGTCAGTCGGTATGCTGTACCTGTTGGCTGGTGTTGCCCCTCCGGACATTGTAGAGACGCGGCTAGCTCCAAGGAACGTTTAAAAAAAGAGACTGACCCGCAGCACCCATTACACCATCACGTGCTGGTAACCCAGAGGCTAAAGAGTCGCCATAGCTTAATAAAAGAAGTATTTTCCTCTGGACGGGGAAACTAAACAGGCCCGAATAAGTCTCTGGAAGGACAGTAACCCTACGGCGTCACTCATCCCGCAAACTTGAAAGCCTCTAAATGGGCTGCGGACCCAAGTCGGCCGAAGCAAGGAGTGCATGCATGGGTGGGGTTACAACTCGGAGTGCTCATGTCGGTGTGGTAACTCTCCCCAAACAATGGCACATCTTTTGTCCTGCCCGGCGTATCCCTACACCTGCACACGCGAGGACCTGTACAACGCCACTGATAATGCTATCTCAGTCGCTAAGTATTAGTTCTCACAAAGATAAACGTCAGATTCGACTCGCCAAGAAGAAGAATAGTTTATTGAATATCACGAAGTTTGACACACAATTTGAAGAAATAGATTTCTCACAGACGGCGCTACGGTAAAAACCACGTCGACCATGAGAAGTATGCGTGACAGCAGTAACACAGCCTTCTGAATACTATATCCGAGGATGTAGCATGTCCAATATGCTATTGGACCAGAATTCATGTCACCAAGAAGGGCTGGTGACATGAAGTCTAATTCCGTATACCTATTGTTAATTTCTATTATTTCTTTTTAAGTATTTCCATTTTCATTATTTTCTATTTTTTAAAGTGTAATTTGCTAACATAGTCCTAAGTTTTCAATTGCTACTAACAAAGTGGATCAATGATCTTAAATAAATAAATTATTATACTATTATTATTATTAAAAAACCTTAAAAACCAAAAATAAAGATCTAAGTAGTAACAAGTACATAGAAAAATTGGTAACGTCCGTTAGATCGTTCCGTGGCTTAGTTGGCAAAGTTACCTGCTTATCGGTATTTTACAGGATACAGAGTTTGCGATGGAATTTTACGATTTAATTCCGCCTTCTCCTTTTATCCTTTGTCCTCTATGTTGTGGATATTGTAAGGATTTGTGACGGGACAAACGAGTCTGGTGGCCTGTTGGTAAGCGACATGCCTGACCATAACCGTTGCAGTGTCGCACAAAGTTTTAAACCATAGATATCTGAGGGGCACTGCCACTGCGGCCGTCACCTTGAGACATAAGTTGACAAGTCCCATGTGCTTATAATATCACCAGCACCCGAAACTCAATAATGCTCACACTACTACACCCTTAGAATAATAACGCATAGAATGATAGTTTCATATCAAACGAACTGTCACAAGTGAGGCAAAAATCAAATTCATGTAGGCTAGTTTTAGTAGTAGATTAATTTTCGGTTTTAGTGAATATTTATATGAAAATACAAGTTGAAACGCGTTACTTCCTTGTGGAATGTGATGTTAGTATCTATTTTATGTTTGTCTGACGTATTTTTACACTCATTTACCGCAAATTTAGTCATTTATAGCTAAAATTCTTGAGCTGTTCGCGGTGCAAGTCGACGAGCACTGAAGGCCCGCCCGCTCGTGTAGGCCCTTTGGGCGCGCTTCAATTTGCCTCACTTAGCGTGTGCGGACTAGGTTTCTATGCGTTATTATTCTAAGACTACACCTAATATAAATATAGTTTTTTTTTAAACTTGAATTTCAGTTACATATTTTTTTCTATATTTTGTACTTGTGTATAATAGTTAAAACCGTATAGAGTATTTTTTAATGTACTGTACGTTTTGTGTCATGAAGGCAATTTTTTTACTCATAGCCCCGCACTAGGGAAACCCTGTATCACGGGTGCCATGGACAACCACAAATTACACCCAAACTCAGATATAAATAAATGTAGTCCATACAAATATTTCTCCCGGCCCGGGAATCGAACCCGGGACCTCTGCATGGCAATAACCGTTCTGCGATGGAGGCAGTTAAAGGTAAAAGATTTCTTACCTCATGTCCAGCCTTCAATAGAGGTTGAACAATTCCCTTAGCTAGCATGTTATGGCTTCTGCTTGGTGTTGGAAACACACACAATATCTTGTACGTGTGTGCAATTGTAAAACAACTTAATAAAAGAGGGACGAGCCTCATGGTTGCTGAAAAAAACAAAAAAACCTAATTTAACTTTTTACGTAATAATTAGAATCATGGTTTAATAAGATCAAGTAGGGCAACTTCCGCCTATTCGGCGAGTAATTGCCTACACATGCGTAGGGTTGTTACATTATTATTTTAATTGTACCTACATGTTGTAATCATAATTTTAAAAAATTGCACGTCTAGTTTAACAACATGAACTAAGACCGAATTTTGACCTTTTCAGAGTCACGGTCTGTAATATGGAGATTAGCAGTTCCCATAGGAAATATAACTGAATTTAGAATACAAGCAGATTTCTATTGACAAAACTCGATGGTATAACAGTTTGCACGGTGGGCGCCGGACAAGACGGTCCCGGGTTCGAGTCGCGGTAGATTCGATTGAATTTTTTTCAAAATTCTAACCCGATTTTCTCTATTATCTCACATAAATTTTTCTTTTATTATTTTTAAGGGTACCGAAACTGTTATTTTGAAAACAATAACCAAACAAGCCACATATTGAGGTCGTCACTCGTTCGTCAAGGTCGTTACCAGTTATGTCTTACGCAGCCGAGATGGACAATAACAATAGGCCTCATTCACCAATTCAAGGTCGCTCAGCGTGCGATGGAGCGAGCTATGTTGGGGTTTCTTTGACCAACCAAATCTCTATTGAGGTCACACATCATACTACGAGAACTAAAGTGACAGACGTAGCTCGAAAAATCAGTAAGCTTAAGTAGCAGTGAGCCGGGCGAGTGAGTGCATATTGCAGGGTTGATCACCGATGGAGCAGACTTATTCTGGAATGGCAACCACGTCGAGGAGAACGTAGTGTGGGACGCCCAAGACGCGACAAGATGGACAGACGACCTGAGCAAGGTGGCCGGCAGCGGCTGGATGCGGGCGGCACAAGAACGGGAAAATTGGCGTTTTCGAGGAGAGGCTTATGTCCGGCGGTGGATGCGTGTAACCTGATGATGATGATGACCAAAGAAGATGGTACAGTAAAGAATGGCACGGTGCTGGTCGCCAACACTTGGTGTTCTATTTGTGTAGTGCCCGGTAGGGTTTGTTCCACAAATTCTCACAAAAATCCCCACTGATGGGGATCCTAAAATTTTATTATTTATTCCACATAATTTGTGGAATAAACCCCCCATAGTGAATTTCGTTGTCTGGTAGGTACTCATACTATAGGAAATTTTCTAACATGAGACACTAACTTATCCAATGGAACAAGTCCGGTGTGCTTGTCTGGCACAGTAGTAAGTATTATGTGCCCCCAAATTTTTATTGACTGAGAAAAAATGGAATAAAATGTAATACACACCTGTATAAGAAAAACGTTACTTCAGCGATACGCGAGTAGGTGGAACCGCAACTTTATTGCCAGTAATATAAATTAGACTTTGCTAAAAGACTAATACGATACGATGTACCGCCGAATAATCTTTACAGAGATAAGATAAACAAAATCATATAAAATGGTGCCAAGTTCGAATTATTATTTATCGAAGAGCAGCGAGCGAAATTTTCTTTGCATACACTTAAATTGCTTAATCTAGAAAGGAACTGGCAGTTGCTTCAACTGTACTGCTGATAACAGCACAGTTGTGGGCAGATACTTGACCAATGCAAAGGTCAGTGGAGAAGAATTCCACTCTTGTCCAGTGTCTATGGTTAGTCGTTTGAATTTGGCACTCAAGGCAGTCTCCGATTGGGGCGAAGCGAATCTTGTCAAGTTTAATGCTACCAAAACGCAGGTGTATTTGTAATCCACAAAAGCTCCACACAAGAGCTCCACTGCTACCTATTATAGTCCTCGATGACATTTTCTATTTTTAAACTTTCTTCTAGTATTTTAATTTTCATAACAAGTTTTGTCTAGTATTGTATTTTTTTTTACACACTCAACATAGCCCCGCACTAGGGAAACCCTGTGTCGCAGGTGCCATGGACACATAGACAACCACAAATTACACCCAAATTCACGAGAGAAATAAATGTAGGCCATACAAATATTTCTCCCGGCCTGGGAATCGAACCTGGGAGCTCTGCGTGGCAGTCCGGCAAGGTAACCGATAGGCCACGGAGGTAGTTAAAGGAGGAGGTAGTTAGTCGGTAGATAGTTTATTCTTCTTTATGTCTTATAAATACCTGCTACGAAAAAACCTATAGAGTATAACTAAAATTATAATCTGACAACCTTACGCTCCGAGCAACGTGTAAGGGCTCATTTAGAGTGCAGTGAGTGCGGGCGCGCGGGTCTTGGCGTCTTCCCTTTCACAGTGCCGAAGCGACTAAAACTGTTAGATCCACACGTCGATGTTGCAAACAAACGCTAGAAGCCAGACCCTAGCACTGTAAATGGTTCGGGCGGACTGAGCACCCGCACTCGCCGCCACTCTAAATAGTTGTCTATATACCCTGCTACGAGTATGTTACTGCTTTCTTTTGCTTAACGCATCGGTGTTATTTTTATTGTAGAACTACCTTGACTTTCTTAAGTCATGTTGATAAATTAATTGCGCTATCTGTGACCGCAATGAGACCTGCCCTTGTGATGCATGTACTATGTATCACCGTAGTGACATTGAATTGGATTACGTTAAGGATTTAAAGATTAGTAGATTAATGGCTTTAACGCTCCTTAGTTAGTAGCTCCGTAGCTCCTTGTGAAAGTGTCCAAGGAAGTTACAGATTTCTGCCGTCAACTAGTAATATGAGCATTACAGCGTTGAAGGGTGCTGGTGAAGCAACAGGCACACTGAAAGTCTTAGTGATAATGATGACATAGAGCGAGAAAGATTGGGCATTGGCATTTTGTGGTAATGTTGGCCAGGATATTTGCAAGCTGTTCAGATCAATTCAAAGCGACGCTCTTTTAGGCGTACTGTCAGACTATATATTTGTAGTCTGTGGATTAAACGTTCGATTCCTACCAATTCCGAATCCGAGAATTGACGGTCCGAAATGTCACAGGTGTCCTAGCCAGGAAAGGGTCGGAGACGGACGCTGTAGGACCAGAACCGATAGTGTTCCTCCCCTGCCAATGGTCCAGAACAACTATACACAAAGGTACAAAATCTTCACATAATAATACATGGACCACCCTTACGGTTTGTAGACAGGCGAGGGAAGCACTCCCAACGCTCAATGCCAGTCTATCTCGAATACTAATTAAACTTAAAAGGCAAGAGCTTCGCACTCTAACTGCCGCCCTAACGGGTCATGGTCCATACAATAAACACCTTTTCAATTTAGGTATCACAGACAGCCCTCTATGCAGAGCGTGCATGGAGGGGGAGGAAACGGCTGCGCACATCCTACTCTAGAGCTCCGGCGTGGCCAACTACAGGGCAAAGTACCTTGGAGTGCCAAGGTCGCTCCCCGAAGTCTTCAGCAAACCAAGGAGGCTGCTGCGATTCCTGGAGGAGCTTGGGTGGCACGAGTGGACCCTGTATCCACCACACGCAAAATAGGCGCTTTGTCGTCGAGTTGCGGATACC